CTATTTATAGGCAAGATTTTCGTGCTAGAATACTTTTTTTAGCGAGAATGCAAATTATAATAGCACTTAACCATGAACACACAAGCCACACCACACACGTATGGCTTTTAATTTGTTTATTTCGTTTGCAAACATATGTCACTATAATTTTAAAGTTATTTCCATCGATCAATTTTCTCATAACGACTGACATGCTTGTTTGCTTTGTGGCCCCTTTAAATACCGCCCCCCCCCCCCCCCCCCTTTCGACCTACGTCAGACCATCAGAGCATCCAAGAATCTTTCCACGGCGTCGTTAACAGAGCGGCAAGAGCGAATTTTGCCGCTCTCGCCGGCGGCGGTGTGAACGTATAGGGATCGAATCTTGACGGCCCAGAAAGTCATTGAAGAAAATGTTTAAATATTCCATGTGACAACAGTGACTCAAGTATAAGTTTATCAAGCGACGAGAATACTTTTTGTGCAAAAAAACAAACAAAAACAACGACTTTATTCGACTATTCCTTTTCTTCCTTGAAGACCTGAGACGAGAGTTCAAGAGATTTACACGACGCATGCGCAAGAACTGAACTGATCGCAATTCTCGCGCATGCGTCGTGGAAATCTCTTGAACTCTCCTCTCAGGGCAGGCCTACAAGCGTCATAGCGACTGGACTGTATGGGGGTGCAGATTGTCCCTGGACAGTTCTTGTGGGCTAAGATGCGATGAGGGCACGAGCGCCCTTCATTGGACGTGACGCCATGCCGGGCTCAGTGGTAGGCTGCTGCAGTTGCCGCAGGGCAGCCAATGAGCATGCTAGACAGCTGCTCTAGGTCTGCTAGCTGCTACACTGCGTTGATAAATGAATACAAAAATTAAGCATAATTTTTTGGCTTCAATATCTCGAAAAGATTAATCTTTCCCGTAGCATAAGCAAACTTACGCAATACGAGAGAAACTCTAAGAGAACTTGGGTCTTCAGTCGACAGAGTTTAAATCCCGTCTGGCTAGCGCAGTTCCCATAATGTTTATGCATTTGTTCAGTAGGTGGAGAGTAGGAAGTCTACTCTTGTGTTGTGGCCATTCGAATGCAAATGACCACGTGAGCATTTACTCTACAAAAGCAATACAGCTGAATGCGTTTTTGACTACCGCTGGAAGTGGTAGAAAGTGGAAAAGCTCAAAACGTTTTAGACCCCATTGACTGTATTTAGCGTCATCCACTTGTGATCCGATCAACTAAAACACATCTTTATATACCAGGTGTAAACAGGGCCTCCGATTTATTGTATGCACACAGGGACCTGGTTCTCAGACACCTCAGCTGCAGGGCTTCAGGTCAACTGAAGCTTCATCATGGCTTCAGACTCGAGTGACATGTCATGTACTACAGGCACCCTGTTATACTCACAGTCACACCAGTAGGGACGTCATATGGTCACGCTGACGGAGTTCCTCATAGTGTCCTATTTAGATCCAGTATCTCGTTTCCCTTCTCAAGGGACCATGGATATATTTGTAACCCGAAACGTCTCATGGGTATGGTTTTGTTATTTATGATCACTCAGAAGCACGTAATTTTTCTGAGCTCATGGGAAAACCAATGGAGATTGCCTGGAACATATTTATTTGTTCTTTACTACTAACTATTCGCTGGTATTTTTTGCACTATTTATTTAAAAATTAAAACATTGACTACAATTATATGAATTTGTGTCAAGAACAGTTGTCTGTTATTGTATTTTGTGTTATAATAAACTTGCTGTATGATTTAAATGAGGTGACAAATCAGTTAGAATTTCCTCACACCATTAATCCAAACAAACCTCAAGGTACAGATTTTGTATGAACTTTAAATTAATTAGCTGTTAAAGAACAATGAACCTTTGGTCTAATAAAACATCTGTACCTAGTCAACCGTTCTCTGAGATTTGTTTCCATGATAATCGAATGTAAAGAGTTTTATCTCTAAAAACTGTTTAGCGTATAACGCTAGTAATGGGGGCATTGACTAAGTAAAAATAAATCACTAGTTTATACCACTAACAAGACTCAAAATAGCCCCACACTAAAACAGTAACATAATGAGGGTCCATACATGCAAACCGAAGCATTGAGAACTTTGTAAGTGTACAGACCGTTTAATAAGAAGATACGTTATAAAGACAGTTCACTTCGCGTATACACAACAGGAGCCATCTTAGAAAATAGTCTTGATAAGTCAAACCACGAACGTCTGAACTGCATGAAGTTCAGCGAACTTCTGAACTGTATGAACCATAGACAGCATAAGAAATGGACAGAGCGATCTCATTGGAACTCCGTTGAGATGATTGAAGCCCGTTTTTGGTGATTTTTTACCACTTCAGTCCCTGACGCGCAGACTCAAACAGGGCTTGACGACGTAGATGTGACGTGAGCGACCCGTCTGTCTTTTAGTGCTGTGGCATGAGAAATCTGAATCATTCCCTTCCGAAACTTGCAGAGGCGGAGAGTGTGAGTAGGAGCTGTCCATGAGTTAGGAGAATGAAACAAATTTTTGCTAGGTATTCTGATTAATTATTTTGTCATTTTGCCTCCACGTTTCCCCGATTGCCCGCGAGCTTCTCCCCCTGTCCATACGGTAATCTCTCTACTGTGCGAAAGAGAGTTGCGTGGTTATGACGCAATCGTTAGCTTACTTTCACTAAAACTGCTTCTACGGGGCCATACCATAAGCTACAAGGTAATGGAGCATTTTATACATTGTCGTGTTTCTTTAGAAATAAATAAAGGTCAAATGGGGTCTTCAAACGCCTCAGATGTAGAGTTATTCGCCGTCAAAGTCATGCCAAAATGAATGGGAGTCAATGGGAATGCTAACGCAAGTGAAGTTCTGCTACAAGATGGCAGCTCCCGCGAGGCTTCAACTTCCGATCGATGGATTACCCCCTTGGTATGAACGGCGTTCAGGGATCGACTTATCGAGACTATTTTCTAAGATGGCTCCTACTGTGTATACCCGAAGTGAACTGTCTTTATAATGTATCTTCTTATTAAACGGTCTGTACACTTACAAATTTCTCAATGCTTCGTTTTGCATGTAGGAACCCTCATTATGTTACTGTGTTAGTGTGGGGCTATTTTGAGCCTTGTCAGTGGTATAAACTAGCGATTTCTTTTTACTTAGTCAATGCCCCCGGCCCATTCTAAACAGTTTTTAGTGATAAAACTCTTTACATTCAATCATCATGAAAACAAATCTCAGAGAACGATTGACTAGGTACCGATGTTTTATTAGACCAAAGGTTCATTGTTGGCTGGAGTTCTCCTTTAATTAGATACAAACATAGTGAATAATGATAGAAAAATAGTGAGTGAGAAAGAAAAAAGTCAAATGTAGTATATTTAGAATCTGAGCAGTGTTTAAACTGAACTGAAAAGCAGAAGTGTCCAAATATCCTCATCCTGCAACAACTTCTAAAGTTAGTAAAGTCTGAGATATAATCTAGCACCATCAACAATGTTGCTTGGATGAGATTTTTTAACATTGCATCTGGAAGATATTTGTTATTGTGTTCTGATTTGAATGCAATTTAAATAAATTGATGCTGAATGTGTAGGGTAATCTGAAAAGGGTAAAAAATATAAATGATTGAATGATTCTCAACCATTTATTAACTCAAATGGCCACAAAAAGCACACAGCATATACACATCAAAAAGCATATTTCATCAAATTCTGGTCCTATGCAACATTTCAAACAATCAATCGGATTTGAGGGACAGTTGATGTCAAGTTAAGGCTTACAACCATGGGTTAGGTGCTTCTACATCAGTATTATTCACCTATCATTTCCCTCTCATTTTAGGAATAAGTTATGGGCAGGGTAACTTTTAAAGACACAATATGTATTTTTTCTGCTTTAAAAATAGCAAATATAACTGTATCTATGTTATATATTTCTATTAGCTGTGTACTTACATTATCCCGACAGTTTTCACCAACTTTCAAATACGGAGAAATTTATAGTTTAATTCGAAGACACGGGACGTTTTCCTATTTCCGTTTCGTCGCCCGTCTATGCCGTCATATAACCTTTGACTCCTCTATTTTCTCTAACTTCCTTGCGGAACCAGGCGAAACCGTCAAACACAAAGGGGAACACTGGACTACCGTCAATAAAGCAAAGAAAATGACGAAGAAAAAAAAGCATTACGTATTTTTATGTGTGTAAATCACGTGCTCGCTCACGAGCGCTCACTCTTAACAGACACACTGTCCCCGGTGCTGCTCGCGCATAAAGCGCTCCCCGTTCACAGTAACCGGTTCGTCTCATTCAAATCAGCCAACTGTTGCTGTTAGCGAGCCGCGCACATTGAATACTCTTATGAGTCAGGCTGCGAATGTACCTGCCCGCTTCAGCTCTCTCATGCTTACTAAATAAACGCCTTACCTCCGGCGCCGCGCACTCACTACATTCCCTTTAGCCTTTAGCACATAGTGGATGCATAACGCAAACCCAGTCAAACGTTTGACTGCAGTATCTTTATAGTATCTAAGCAGTATGTGCTTTATAATCCGGTGCGCCCTATAAATGAAAAATGTTCTAAAATAGGTCATTCATTGAAGGAGCTTAATATAAATATTTATATTCGTCTACTGCGGTCTGTATTATAGTTATGGACCACGATTACGCTTTGCCTGCACGTTCTGCTGCTACAGCCAGCTCAGTAAAGCTCAAACGTACGGGTGAAAAATATGACGCGAGAAGGGTTTGGGACAGGAGAAGCATGACACAGGTAAACATTGGGGTTGCATTTAAAGCTTCTCAACAAGCTAAATCTACAAAGAGATGCCGTATATCCGTATATTTTGTGAAACGATGATGTCATGCCATGAGCTGAGCTGGTTGTCATTGACAGCGACAACAACTCCCGTGAGCCCACGCTCTTTCCCGACGTCATCAAAGTACGTCTTTTGTTATTATTTTAAATGAGTGACCCCTGGTGGCCAAAAATTTCATACTGTACGTTTAAGGGTACGACTCAATTTTCAGACAGGAATGTAGTTCCAGGGTCAACAAAATTGATGATCCAGGGACATGTCAAAAAATCACAGTGACCTATAATTTAACAAGATTTTTTTTGTTTGAATTAACAAAGTAACCAGCATACATATTATCATAGCTGCCCAAAAAAAGCATTTAATATTATATACAAATTATATTCCTTTTAGATGCTAGGGTTTGCAATGTTACATTTGTTTGTCCATTTGCTCAACGCTTTTGATTCTTGTTGTTTCTCCCTGTCACTTGAATCTCAGCATACTCTGTCTGTGGGTCATTGTTTGAGTGTTCCCTTGTCATGTCGCCCGTCTGGAGTTTGGAGAAGTCAATCTCTCCATAGTGGAGATCATCAGTTTCTTTCTTTTCACTTTTCTTGCTGATCGCACTGGAACTGTTAGCATAGATAGCCACCATGTCACCGTTTTTATCCGTAGCCTGAGGAAAATAAGTCATTTTAAAATTATTAATTTTGAAATTTAATTCTGCTGCAAATTAAGTGTTGTTTGAGGAGATCCTATAGTGAGTGAGTTTTTAGAAGATTAGTAGAAAACAATTTACTTTTAACAACATTCAGTGACTCTTTCAGATTACAAAAACAATAGGTGGCAATCATTGATTCATTCACTCAACTTAATCACTCATTTAGGCTGCATCCAAAAACTTAGGCAACTTAGGCAATTGTAAAGCTTCAGATTACATTGGTAAAACAATAGGTGGCGATGAGGGACTGTCTCAATGAGTGAATCATTGATTCATTCACTCACTCAACTTAATCACTCATTTAGGCTGCATCCGAAAACTTAGGCAGCTGACATGTTGCCTCGCTGCCTTAATAGGCAATGACTCTGCAGACAGCACTTGTGCACGAAGGTACCTTCTGAAACTGATTTCGGACAGACGTCTGTGGCAACGTAGCAGTTTAATGATCCACAGCAAAATAGAGCGAGTGTTGGTGAGAACTAAACAAATATTTGATAACTACAGTAGTAATTTCTCGCTAGAAATGACATCAGAAGTGGAAAACATTGGTCAAAAATGTACAATCACACCCAAACTGACCAGCAACTGCAACCTTCAGACGACATCTTTCTTTTTGTAGCTAAATTGTCACCAATGGAACGCACAAGATTGTGGGATACCAAAGGCAGCGAAGGATACATCTACGCTGCCTTCAAAAATCGATCAGATGAAGGAATCTCAGGCGACAGGAAGTGAAGCTAACATTGAAATCGGATGTGCATTGATGCCTTCCTACCTTGGAATACGTCCTCCAAAGGTAAAATTTAAAGGTTAAGTTTTCGGATGCCACCATAACTTGACAGCATCTGAAATCGCGTACTTCCCTACTACATAAGAGTTGAAAAACAGACTATGTGACAGCCAACATTTGTATGTCTGGGGCCCATAGGTTTGAAATGGGCTGAAAAAATGGGCCCCATGTAGGATTGTCTGCAGGTTACATAATGGCCCCATTTTAATTGCCCAGATGAATTTCATGTAGGATTGCACTTGGTACTACACTCTAAAAATGCTGGGCTGTTTAAACCCAAACTTGGGTCAAATATGGACAAACCCAACTATTGGGTTAAATAATTTAAATATAAGACTTATTTAACCCAAGTTTGGGTTTAAACAACCCAGCCTTTTTTTAGAGTGTAGGTGGGACCCAATTGGGCAACATGCAAAAGACCCATCTCGGTCCCAGCTTTAACCCAGCCAACATTGGGACCTTATGGGTATGAAATGGGCTGAAGAATGGTCTCTGTATGGGATTGTCCGCAGGTTACATAATGACTCCATGTTAATTGCCCAGGTGGATTGGGTGAGACCCAAGTGGGCAACATGCACAAGACCCATCTCGGTCCCAGCTGCCAATATTTGCATGTGGGGCTCATGCGGGTTTGAAATGGGCAGAAAAATGGGCTCTGTATGGGATTGTCCGTGGGTTCCATAATGGCCCCATGTTAACTGCACAGATGGATTTCATGGATTGCACTTGGTACTAGGTGGGACATGCACAAGACCAATCTCGGTCCTAGCTTAAGAAAGTATGTCCGAATTCACAGTACTCATAAAAGAGTAGGCAAAAAGTATGCGGATGACCTTCTTCTAGCAAGATTCTGAGGTGTGCATTCAATGGACACTTTACTATCCATGATGCTGCGGGAGAGGATTTACGAATGGCAGTAAAGCGGTACAACTGACACCGGTAGTGGTAGACTATGGTAATGACAACATACCGAATGTAGTATGCACAGATAACTTTCATACTTAACACACGGTTCCTTCGTTAATGAATAACTACACAAGAACCAATAAGTAACACAATATTAACAATCTAGCAACTATTATTAACTAACAAGAAACTCTGATTAACGAACTAGTAAGTAATAGCGAACAGATGAAAATGGTAGTTCACTAACTAATCAATAACTACAGTTTTTTAATGCTTCCCAGAGAACTACTGAAAAAGTTTATTAACAATCTAGTAACTACTTTTAACTAAAAATAAACGCTGATTAATGAATTAGTAAGTAATAGTACACAGATGAAAGTGTTACATACATACATCTGTGGGAATTACTAATTATTTGGATCTGTATTACTAGTAAAGACTCAAGTGTTACTACATACTTCTAAAGAAATGTTCACCAAAAATCTCAAACGCTTGAAGACTTTAGTGTTTGGTTGCACCAAGTCATAACTAGATCATGTAGTAACACTTGAGTCATTAGTTGGTTCCAATGATCTTCACTATAGAATACGGATCCAAATGATTAGTAATTCAAACAGAAACATGTAGTAACACTTTCATCTGTGTACTATTACTTACTAATTCATTAATCAGCGTTTATTTTTAGTTAATAGGAGTTACTAGATTGTTAATAAACTTTTTCAGTATAGTTCTCTGGGAAGCATTAAAAATAGTAGTTACTCAGTTTACAGTAACTGCACTGTAATTCAATTTACAGTACACACGACCAGTACTGTAAACTACTAAACAGTATTGTCCTGTATTTTTACTGTATTTTGTCATTTTTGTCTGCTTCTGTTGTAATTAATATGGTATTGTACTGTAATATCCATATTGATACATTATTGCAAAATATTGTAATTTTCAAATTACTAATGATATTATAACTATGTAGTTATTACAGTAAATAAATCTATAGGTAATAATATTATAATGCAACTTGCAAATCAAAAGACAATCCAAACAATGTTCTGGTCAAAAAATATTTTTATTGATCAATTGCACTATTAAAACCATGTATTGTGAACGCATTTAAAGGGATAGTTCACTTTGAAATTAATGTTTGGTATGTTTTAGCTTACCTCAAGGCAAGGGCATCTAAGAGATGTCTTTGTTTCCACAGTATTTTCAATTTTGATAATTTTAGGTCAAACCGTTCACTTTCATCTGTTTGCTATTGCTTATTAGTTCATTAATCAGAGTTTCTTGTTAGTTAATAATAGTTACTAGATTGTTAATATTGTGTTACTCATTGGTTCTTGAGTAGTTATTCATTAACGAAGGAACCGTATTCTAAAGTGTTGCCCACATTTTTTACGTGATTGTGAAGTAATTACTTATTAAAAAATGTTGAATTGCAATTGCAATTGCAAAGGTAAATTCTGTGGTGATTCGTTTGGAACATTTTTGCTGTGGACAAAACAACTAACAATATTTTGTTTAAAATATAAGTTACTTGATGTCTTGTTTATTTAACTGTTTCATGTAGTTTAGAACCCACCTGATCTCTTCCTATGACATGAGCTTGACTTGATGTCTTTGTTCTGTTGTAAAAAAATAAATGAAATGATCAAGTAATTCAATAATTGAATTAATGAATTAATAATTTACATATATATTTCTATTATTTTACCTCAAACAGTAAAAAAGTACTGCAGACAACAGAACAAAAGCCAAAAGTCCTCCTGTACAACCATATATCACACGCTGAGAGAATCCACTCTCTTCTAAAATAAAACAGAGTTAACCAGGATTGTGTTTTAAACAGTATTCATAAATCCAGTACATCTGAAGCCAGTGCTTAATTTACCTTCAACTGTGAGATGGATCTCTGCTGACTGATTTCCATGTTTATTTTGAGCAATACAGAAGTATGATCTTGTGTCATTATGATATACGATGAAACTAATCTTCTTTTCCCAAGCTATAGCCATCTTCTGTCCATGTTTGTACCAGGTGTAGTTCATTTCTTTTGATGGACTGCCTTTGCTTTTGCAGGTCAAAGTCACATTAGTACCAACAGAGACTGAAGCAGATGGATTGATGATGATGTGAGTTTCTTTTGGTGAAACTTTGAAGGAAACACAAGCAGAGTAAGTGAACTTAAAGTTAATAATATTATATTAAATGATAACATTGACCTATTCATTTAATCACATCAGGATTATGAGACAAAACTATTCCAAATCTCTTACACAGGACTCGTAGCATGATCACGGTGGTCTCCACAGTTGAGTCATTAGATGATTTTCTTGGATATGTAGCAATGCAGGAGATGTTCTTTTTGTGATCCATGTATGAAGCTTTGAAGGTCATGTTTGAAAACACTGACAGGGTTTTATCAGGTTTCTCCTGTAACTGTGTTGTAATGCTGGCAGAATTAGGTATGTAAGACCAGGATATTGTAGGAGGTTGTTCTGGGCAGGGGGCTTCAGCGGAGCAGCTCAGATTCACTGTTGTGTTCTCCATTACTTCTTTCAGACCAGTGTGTTTAAGTTCAGGAGGTTGTGGTGAATCTAGGGAAATGATTGACATCATTAAGGAATACATGCAATGCATAGTCGTGTTAAAAAGAGTGGGGTTTTCACACTTGTAGTGTGGTCTATTTGTGTTGTGTTGTTGTTAATGGTGATTTAAAGGGAACTATTTTAACAACTGTGGCAAGGGGGGCGTGGTCTAGCAAAGTCTGTGACAGATACAGTGATCTAAGCACATATTCTAAACCTCACAGCGCAAGTCCACTTAGGGTGTGTCCAAAGCTAGTTCAACGGCGGGAAAAATGGTTGGCGCGCCCAGCACATGGTCTAAAAGGGTTTCCATATTCTCTTAATGAGTAATGGATATAACATGCAAAAAAAAAAAATGAGGGCCAGAAGTACGTACATTTACGAATGCAGCGTTAATAACACCATGGCCAAGACGCAGAAAGCGCTTGATGTGAAACCGCAGTGTGCGTGTTATGTACCAAACTTGGAGTTCATCAGGTAGCGCCTGTTCTCACCCATTATACCGTAAATTGCGTGTATTTAAACGTGCTGATGCACTCACACTCACTGCTGATGCTATGACTGTTTGAAATGATCCTGATGCCAATAATTGTAACATAGCGAGGAGTTTAACAACTGCTGGAATGGAGTGTGAACGCTGAGTTGGAGATTCAATGTCTTTGATTTCTTCCAGTAACTGTAATTTGCAAAGCTGCTTAATCTGTAATGCTTAATGATTTCCTTTTCACTCAACTGAAATAGTGTGATTCTTGTAGCAAAAACCTTTTCAGCTCGTCTCCTTAGCCTATGTCTTGGTCTTGCTCGGATTAATGCTGCCATTTTTCAAGGAGGCATATGCCATGAAACCCGCTTCCCAAGTTACACCTGCTTTTAAGAGGCCGAGAATTTTCAGTTGGAAATAGAGGCGCTTTTACCAGCTTTTTCTGTACACACATAATCTATTTATGGGACACTCCCACTTTCCCTAGCCTGACTTCGTCATACTCATTTTCCGACCAAAAAATGTTGTGGGCGGAGTTCGGGCTGGCATCCAGGCTACACTTTCCCTTGACCATCCCATGAATGCATATGCATGACACGAAAATTTTCAGTTCCCGCGACAGGCAGTCTCCGTTTTCATCTTGGTGTGTCCCGTTCGTACTTCGCCATGGTTGCAAAACAAATACGCCTGATTTGTATAGTACATCTGTACATCTGGCCCTCAGAGTCCAATTTCCCATTCGGTATTTGCATGACGTAATTTGTAAATGGAAAGGCTGAATGCTTCTCTATCGAGGAAACGGATCTGCCCGTGCAAAAGGTTAAAGTGCACAAGCAGACCATTTACGGGACAAGCCGGATTCCACCATATCTTTATGTACACAATACTAATCTTTTACATTGTAATCCTTTTATTTTTTTAAATATTGGGCATGTTTTTCTGCTGCCGCTCATCTCTGTGTATATAATAAGCAGAGTCTACATGCGCTGTGCACCCGTCTATAAGAGCATATTACTAATTCGCCCTTTAAATAACAAAAAAATACTGCGCCATTGACTTTAGGACAGGTTTTAGTTGGTCAATGGCGCAGTCTATTTCAGTTACCTCAAAATAGCAATACGCCTGAATACACCTCGTTTTCAGATCAGCACGCCCATGGGCGCAGATGCATTTGCTATTTAAACAATGTGACGCGGGACGTGAAAATGATAACTGTGTCAGACTGAAACTAACAAAAAACACTTGCGTTGCGATTGCCGCTGCATGATAGGGTCCAGAGGGTTACTTGGCCCTATGCATTATTCATCAAATAAGAGCAGAATGCATTTTATCAAGACCTTCATAATATGTCACAGTGTTTTTTACATATAAAGTATAAAAATGTATTTATTATCATTATATGAACCACCAACCAGAAAGTTGGTTCAAGCCCCGGTTCCACCTGACCAAGTGTCGAGGTGTCCATGAGCCACTTAAAGGGATAGTTCACTTTGAAATTAATTTTTGATATGTTTTAGCTTACCTCAAGGGCATCCAAGATGTAGGTGTCTTTGTTTCCACAGTATTTTCAATTTTGATATCGTTTTTACCTCGTGCAACCACAGCCACTTCCAACTGATCTGAAGGCACGGGCGCTTCAGTCTGCGAATGCGCCGGAAGTGATCGCTTGCGCGTCTACGTCACTCATTGTTTACACAGAGATTTCGGAAGTTTTACCTTTCACTGTGAAGATCTAAACATATTTAGATATACAGGAAATTGCAATGGAAGATGATTTCGATATATCTAAATATGTTTAGTGAAAGGTAAAACTTCCGAAATCTCTGTGTAAACAATGAGTGACGTACAGACGCAAGAGATCACTTCCGGCGCATGCGCAGACCGAAGCGTCCGTGCCGTCAGATCAGTTGGACGTGGCTGTGGTTACAAGAGGTAAAAACGATATAAATACTGTTCGTTTTCTCACACAAACCGCTCGTTTCGTGTCTTAGGCCATCAATGTGTACTTACATTTACGAGTCATTAAATCATGTTTAATTTGGACTTCTCTGTGCATGCTCTTTGAGGTGAACCGAGGGTGGACCCCCTAAACCTGCATTATATGACTGATAGACAATGGTTTGACTGAAAAATATCAAAATTGAAAATACTGTGGAAACAAAGACACATACATCTTGATGCCCTTGAGGTAAGCTAAAACATATCAAAAATTAAAAAAATGAAATGTAAAGTGCTTTGGTGGCCATTGGGTCTGTGAAAGTGCTATATAAATGCAGTCCATTTAACATTTTACCATTAAATAGCAGCTACCAATTATGTAATTAACTATTTTTATGTCAGAAATAATAATTCTTCTCAAAAGTTAAAAAATTCCTCTTTGATATGTAGATTGTCTGTTCAGTGGAGATGACGTTTACCTTTGACAGTGATCTTCACAGTCTTTATTTCATCGCCTGTATTGGGGTTAAATGTTGCTTTGAACACACTTGGCTCCATTTCCAGTCTGAAGAAGTATAAATCTGAATGATTCATCATGATGTTATAGAAGACAGTTGTGCAATTTCTCTCACTGAGATTTCCGGTTATCTGTATGTCACTAAATCCTCTTATGATATTTTCGCTGCTATTAAAAGCTATAAAGCTGTCTTTATCAGCAAACTGTGATTTCTTTTTTAACCAGATCCCATAAATAGATTTTGCCTTGTTACGTTTGTCCTCAAAACTGGAGATGGTGAATGTACAAGGAATCTGCACACAAGAGCCTGTCAGAGCTGTTACTGTCAGAGGCATCACTGCAGACACATCACCATCAGCTGAAACACATAAAAACACATTAGTAAAGCTAGAGATGTGAAGGAATGAGCATTTGGATTAAAAAATTTATATCAATGCACAAATTATATCCATCCTCACTCATAATGACAACAATCTACCAACCTGAGCAAGTATGGATCAATACAGAGCTGATGAAAATGAAGGAAGTGATCTGGATTCCTGCCATCAGGGTTTGTGGCGAGGATGACATTGGACTCAACAATAGTGACAAATCAATCCACAACACCATCACATACCCTTCATCACACATACAACATAAAAAAAAACATCATGAACATTTAACAACTTCACTGCTCTACTATATTTGATAGATACTGTACATGTATTCTGTTGTATTGATTGTTTATTTTATTTATCCACTGTAAATATTCATGTTAAATAAGCTAAAAAAGGGCTTTCTGTCGTAACATCAAAATTACAATTTATTACGATATATTTGATCTGACTCCATCAGCCTGACTGTATTTGGTTACATGAGCAAAAGTGACACATTTGAGCTACAGACAAACATTTTCATTCACTTAACTTCATAAATACATAAGATTATACCAAATTATTTCCTCATTGTCATTTTTTTTTTTTTTTTTGGATTAATTCCTGGAACAGAGTTACTTGATTCAGTAAAACTCACTCACAGTCAGCAACTAAAGACTCTCGCCACTAGCAACGCTGTTTCAGTTATTTACAGATAATTGTGAACTATGAAATAATGAACATTTTGGTGATCAAGTTAAAGCCAACATAAGACATAAAATGTATTGTGTGCGAAAGAAAGGTAAAAGATTAAAATCTGTAAAAATTCTTACCTGTTCCAAAAGAACTTTTACTTATAAGAAGCAGAAGTGCCTAAAACTGTCCTCTTTGTGGCAACAGCCTTTTAACATGTTTCATGATGAGACATTGCAAAACACCCATTGTGTAATGTCATCAAACAGGAAGTTTTTTTATAGAAAATATGGGGGGGGGGGGGGGGGGGGGGTCTAAGCCTTTGTAAAAGATTTCTGTAAAATGTACCTTTCGTGCACTTTTAGAGTAACGACGTGCTACATGCTCACAATAAGTTTGCAACATCTGTTACACACTGTACAGGTCAGGCTCACACAAACGTAGTGAATAACACATTTTTACTAAAGTCTAAAGTAGATGAAACTTAGTCTCTCTGTTCTAATTTACCACAAATTCACATAGCTTACATCTGCATGTTTAGCTCCGGTTAGAGGAATTTCCTCTCTGTTTAGTTTTAGCTAGCAGTCTTAAGCCACAGAAGTCTATATTTACTATTTGTTCAAGTAGGCCGTTATGCATTATTTTTATTCAATCTTCTTTGACACTGAATTAACTATGATTAACTGACTGATTTAACTAGGACATTAAAGGGTTAGTTCACCCAAAAATGAAAATTAAGTCATTAATTACTCACCCCCATGCTGTACCAACCCCGTAAGACCTTCCTTCATCTTCAGAACACAAATGAAGATATTTTTGATTCAATTTGAGAGGTGGATCACTGCTACAACATAGGCTGCTGAAGGGGTGGTCAAAATCCCTTGCCTCTTCAGCATATATATATATATATCCTTTAATGCTTATGTATTTCTTTTATAAAATCAATAATTAAGTATGTTCATTATTACTTAATCATTTATTGACATATAAATTTATTCTTTGTGCTTTTGCTTGTGAAATAATATTCTTAAATGCATGCTGATGTAAGTCACCAGCTTCTTTTAGGTGCACAACGCCATTTGTCTCTTTCTCTGGTCTCAGGAGAAAGGTTTATGGATCCTAAAGGCGTCGTGAACACATATGTCCAACACATATGATACTTCTCTGTACAAATGGTCAAACAATATTGAGCATTGCTATATTGAACTTTAATTCTTGTATTAAAATGTATTTTTTCTATTATAGTTGCTTTCTGAGGAGCAAATGTTATCTGTTTTTCTCCCAAACGAGTGAATGTTTTACCATTATGTTTTGGTACACTTAACTGATAATAAGCCGCTCAGACTCTCTTCAGCCTTGATAGGAGCTCTTATTTGCTAGTGTCCTATGTGAATGCGGTAACAGTGAAAATAATAGGGAAATAGGGATTTTGGTTTATGTTTGATTAACATAAAGGGGTCATTGAAGCCAACAGTTTAAGGCACCATTTCTTTGTTAAAGTCTTACTCCAGTTAGACTAAAATTTAGTGTTAGTCTTCTTGGTTGCAGGTAAGGAACCACTGCCATTATTGGAGATTGAATGAGTTGTTGTTCTGGACATACTGGCGCCATCAACCCAAATCTGTGACCTGGAAGGTCATGACGTGCCTTTGAATTTCAGATACGTCATCGATGGAGATATGCTTCGTCTATGTGTGGAAAATTACTGTGTTTATCTATTTCTTAGCCAATGAGAACCATTCAACGTGTAAGCAATGACGTAGCTTAGACCTTGAAAATGGTATAACTGCTGTGATTGTTGTAACTGTAAGGAGGCGGCCTACGAACTCCTGAGTGAGTCTTGAAGCTGACTTCTGCTGTTGAAATGCAATCTATGTTCAGTAAACTTTTCTTTAATTTTTTTTTAATTCTGACTCCGGGTCTTCATTCTTCATATCTGGTTCTGGGTCCTTTAACTGTTAACCCCTAACACTGCCTAAGGGAATGAAACTTGACGGCCCAGAAAGTCAATGAATAAAATGTTTAAATATTCCATGTGACAACAGTGGCTCAGCAATAAGTTTATCAGGCTACGAGAATACTTTTTGTGCGTAAATAAAACAAAAATAACGACTTTATTCGACTATTCCTTTTCTTCCTTTTGGGCCTGAGACGAGAGTTCAAGAGATTTCCACGACGCACGTGCGAGAACTGCGTTCTTATTCTACGACTTCTCGTTCAGTTCTCGCTCATACATCGTGAACAATACAGTATTAAAACAATACAGAAAAGCAACAATAGAACATTATATGTGACTACAAATTAACCCCCCCCCCCCAAAAAAAAAAAAAAAAACAACAACAAAAAAACCTTGACCTACTCTTTTTTCCATCATGAATCAGTCACTTTAATTCATATCACAAAACACTGTGATAAGGTAATTCTTGGTCCTCAAATCTCATTTAATTATTCATTTATTTTGGAATATTGTTGAGATATTTTTAATAGTTCAAATGTTGTATGTACAACTTTTTTTGTTGTTGTTTTTTTGCAATAAAGTAACAGAAAAATAAGTATACTGACAAAAAGTTTATACATTTTTCAGTTACTTTTAATCAGTAAAAAATCTAAAAATTCAAACAAACAAAACAAACAAAAATGAAAATAGAGAGAAATGCAGTCACTCATTGTTTTTAATAAAATACTTGTTTTCATCAGAAAAGTCCCCTTGGAATTATAAGGTTCTGCGTTCTGAACAGTTTTGAGATATTGAGCTTCAAAGTTTTTGCATGCCATATAGGAAAATATGTATGGGGAACAAGTTTCTTTCAAACATAAAAATAACAGGGACCCTAAATGTACAAAACACATCACATAATGTAAATAAATTGTCACAGAATAAGAATATGTGAATAACTCAATTTTGACAAAAATGTCAGATAGAACCATATAATTCCAAGGGGACGAAATATAAAGTTAAAAGAGATATATATTTGTTCACACGAGAAGACATATAGCCTAGCAATATATAAACATACAGAAATAAAACATTTATATTTTTTTTTCTTTGAGAAATAATCATTTATATTTTCACCTCAGCATAAATGTCTTCAGGCACAACACTGATGGCTTTTGTTTTAATGTGTATCATGTGGACTTCAGAATATACTACATCTGAACTTTTTTCATGGCCATCTTCTTCGGTTTGGTCTTTTCCTGTATGGTGGTGGGTCTGAGCCGTGAACTCAGTCTTACGCTCACACACACTATAATCATCAGAGATCGTGTTGTCCTGGGTGGTTATGTTGTGGACATCATCATATGTGGAATTCCTGTAAAGAGTTTTGTCCTGTGCCTAAAAATTAAAACAATTTGTTTTGGTGTATACATACCAGCATTTCTAACATGACAACTCAAGGAATAATTAATTGATATGATGTTACTGCTAAGCACGCTTCTGCTATTGTAGAGTATGGACTTGCTGCTGCTAATAGATACATAGACATGCTATATACGAATAAAAAAGCTACCGTTTACTGCACTTTGTTATTCTTTGCTATTTACGAATTTGAAGTCTTGCACATTCACAGAAAATAGCTTACTTCCACATATCAAAATAAGCTGTATACCTATGGGAGCAAGCTAGCAAGCTCAAGGCCAATCTGTAGTTAATAATATGTTTGCTAGAAATTACTTGCAAAGGACCCATCAGACTGAACTATGCAATTTAATTTGAAAAAAATTGAATTTAGCTATATTAGATGTGTATTAAAAAGTTATTGGTAACACTTTACAATACGGGTGCACTAATAAGCATTAATTCATGCTTAACTAATGCACATGGTAATACTGAATTAATGTGTAACTAATGATTATTTAAGCTATTCATTAATGATTACCACATTAGGAACTGTAGGGTTAATGTATTAGTTCATACATTAATTGTTTTTAAATAAATATGTTATTGTGGATTAATTCCATAATAACTCATTTTTTTAACTAATAGTGTTAATTAATATGTTAATTACCAAAATGAGCCAAAGCCTTGTATTTCAACTTCCAGATAATATGACAGGTATACTAATATGCATTAATACATGATTAATTACTTCATTGTTACTGCAAATTCATGTGCAAATTACTACAATTACTAAATGACTAGTTAATAATGATGTGCCCCAACAAATAAAGTCATAACATAATGATACCTTTGCAAATCATTAGCTAATGAATAATTAAAGCAGACAACTGAAAGTTGAAGTGCATAGCTTTAAATAATTGTGGTAATTAACACATTAATTTACACTATTAGTTAATAAAATATGTTATTAAGGAATTAATACACAATGGCACATTGAATTAATAGCAATTAATCTATTACTTAATCTATTAATCATATAGACTCTTTATTAGTTGCTGATGCAGTAATCATTAATTAATGGTTTAGTTCTTCATGAGTTATACATTAACTCATGATTATCTTTGCATTAGTTACAATTAATGCATATTAGTGCACCCGTATTGTAAAGTGTTACCAAGTTATTATTAAGAGAGGGCCAGATGTGCAGGGCCAGAATTGAGAACATCTGCTTTATAGCAATGACAATGATCTATCAACATGGTTTTGTGATTGTTTGTGGAGTGGTGTTTGAGGTTCACAAACCTGATGCAAGGAGTCTTTGTCTCCAACAATGTCTCCCCTGTGTGTCTTTTTCCTGGTCATGTGAGAGGAAATGAATAATTAAACTGAAAACTTGACTTGACTGTGCATGACTGAAGTGCTTTAATAGCTGATCTGATCCCTGTATTTAGTCAAACACTAGCAACTCTCATAATTGTGAACGAGGCTTAAACTAACACAAGCACAATGCTGGATACATCTTAAAACTGGCTCTTTTAAAATGACATCAGCGATGATCATTTACTTAATTTACCTTGCACAAAATCCAAGAGCAGAGAGCGTGAGCACTGCCACAATTCCTCCCACACAACCAACAATCAGAGGCATAAAGTGTCCATCTTGTCCTATAAGATGTGAAATCTTGTATTTCAAGTGATCTTTATTGCTTTAGATCTGTAAATGACCTTGTTCTTTACTGTAAACTCACCTTCAACTGTGAGCTGGATCTCTGCTGACTGTTTTCCGTGTTTATTCTGTGCAGTGCAGGAATACCATCCTGCATTTTTATGAGTTCCATTGAAGGTAACCTGCTTTCCCTGAGCTATAGCCATCTCCTGTCCACGTTTGTACCACGTGTAGTTCATTTCTCTTGATGGACTGGCTTTGCTTTTGCAGGTCAAAGTAACATTAGTGTTAACAGAGACTGAAGCAGATGGGTCGATGGTGATGTGAGTTTCTTTTGGAGGAACTTTGACAGAAACACAAGCACATGAATAGGGAAAGCATGTAAAACACCTGCATTAGACATTTCTAGGAAGCTAAACACCAAATTCTTTTTAAGCAGCACTTTGTGCATTTAAGCACGCACAGGGTTATGTTAAAGGAAGTAAGCAATCAAATCTCTTACACAGGACTTGTAGCATGATCACGTCTGTCTCCACAGTTGAGTCATTAGATGATTTTCTTGGATATGTAGCAATGCAGGAGATGTTCTTTCTGTGATCCAAGTATGAAGCTTTGAAGGTCATGTGTGAAAACACTGACAGGGTTTTATCAGGTTTCTCCTGTAACTGTGTTGTATTTTGGGCAGAATTAGGTATATAAGACCAGGATATTGTAGGAGGTTGTTCTGGGCAGGGGGCTTCAGCGGAGCAGCTCAGATTCACTGTTGTGTTCTCCATTACTTCTTTCAGATCAGTGGGTTTAAGTTCAGGAGGTTGTGGTGAATCTACAGATATAAATTATTTTAACTAATCACATGTTCTTGGTGATGTTTGTTAATTACGTAAATAATATTTACATTTAAATGTATTTATCTATTACACATATCAAGTGAAGTAAAGCATAAGAACCTGTATGTCAAAGACAGTGGAGATGACGTTTACCTTTGACAGTGATCTTCACAGTTGAATCGCCTGTCTTGGTGTTAAATGTTGCTTTGAACACACTTGGCTCCATTTCCAGTCTGAAGAAGTATAAATCTGAATGATTCATCATGATGTTATAGAAGACAGTTGTGCAATTTCTCTCACTGAGATTTCCGGTCATCTGTATGTCACTAAATCCTCTTATGATGTTTTCGCTGCTATTAAAAACTATACAACTGACATCATCAGCAAAATGTGATTTATTTTTTAGCCACATCCCATTAATAGATTTTGCCTTGTTACGTTTATCCTCAAAACTGGAGATGGTGAATGTACAAGGAATCTGCACACAAGAGCCTGTCAGAGCTGTTACTGTCAGAGGCATCACTGCAGAGTAGACATCACCATCAGCTGAAACACATAAAAACACATTAGTAAAGCTAAAGATGTGAAGGAATGAGCATTTGGATTAAAAAAATTTATATCAATGCACAAATTATATCCATCCTCACTCATAATGACAACAATGATCTACCAACCTGAGCAAGTATGGATCAATACAGAGCTGATGAAAATGAAGGAAGTGATCTGGATTCCTGCCATCAGGGTTTGTGGCGAGGATGACATTGGACTCAACAATAGTGACAAATCAATCCACAACACCATCACATACCCTTCATCCCACATACAACATAAAAAAAAAACATCATGAACATTTAACAACTTCACTGCTCTACTATATTTGATAGATACATGTATTCTGTTGTATTGATTGTTTATTTTATTCATCCAAATATTCATGTTGAATAAGCTAAAAAAATGCTTTCTGTCGTAACATCAAAATTACAATTTATTAACATATATTTGATCTGACTCCATCAGCCTGACTGTATTTGGTTACATGAGCAAAAGTGATACATTTGAGCTACAGACAAACATTTTCATTCACTTAACTTCATAAATACATAAGATTATACCAAATTATTTCCTCATTGTCATTTTTTTTTTTTATTTATTTTTTTGGATTAATTCCTGGAACAGAGTTACTTGATTCAGTAAAACTCACTCACAGTCAGCAACTAAAGACTCTCACCACTAGCAACTCAGCTCTCGCTGTTTCAGTTATTTAAAGATAATGTGTGAACTGTGAAAAAATAATGAACTTGTTGGTGATCAAGTTATAGCCAACATTAGACATAAAAATCTATGTGTGCGAAAGAAAGATAAAAGATTAAAATCTGTAAAAATTCTTACCTGTTCCAAAAAGTAGTATTAGTTATAAGAAGCAGAAGTGCCTAAAACTGTCCTCTTTGTGGCAACAGCCTTTTAACATGTTTCATGATGAGACATTGCAAAACACACCTTGTGTAATGTCAAACAGGAAGTTTTTTATAGGAAATATAGGGGGTCTAAGCCTTTGTTAAAGATTTCTGTAAAATGCTCTTTTCGTGCACTTTTAGAGTAACGACACGCTACATGCTCACGATGTTAGCTAGCAACATCTGTTACACATTGTACAGGTCAGGCAGCCTCACACAGACAGAAGAAAAGGTTCTATATAGAACCTTAAACCACTACGCTCATTCATTTCATATCATTTGTTCTAGTTCAAATCTGACTCATAACCATAAGGTTAATCTCCACAAAGGTACTATTCATGAACTGTCACCTTTATGCCCTTCAGCAAGACACTTTAACTCAGAAGCAGTTTCATACTGTCTCTGTTATAAGGTCATTTCCAAAAAATCATCTAAATGACTAATTAGTTGACATCACGAAACAGTTCTTGGTAACACTTTAGAATAATGGTCCGACATTAAAAGGTAACATACAGGACATAATGATGAGTAGTTCTACATACGCACTTTGGCTACAACCATTGGAATCAAGATTAACTAATCAGCAAATGTAGAACTGAAGTAGTTCGTTTTTGAAGATTGTCTTTTTTACCCTGAACATGGTCATAAAGCATAAAGTTTGAAGTAGTCACCCTTCAAGAACTACAAGTGACCTGGGGCAATATTCACAAAACATCTTAAGGCTAAAAGAAGCTCCTAACTTGCCGATTTAAGAGAAACTCGTACCACTTTGGTTTAGTACCACTTTACTCTAAGAGTATTTTACAAAGTTTTTTTAGCACTAAAACCATCTCCTAAATCAATGAAAAGTTAGGGGTAGTCAAGAGGAATAATAAGTCACTAAGACTGTACGAATTCGACGAATTATTAAAAAGTGGCTAATTCGTAACAATTCATACGACCTCACTCGTACGAATTAATACGATTTTGCTAAATCGTACATATTTTACGAATTGGCCAATTCGTATGAATTCGTACGAATGACCTACCCCTTACCCCGCACGTGGGTTTAGACAAATCGTACGAATTAGTACGAGTGAGGTCGTACGAATTAGACACTTTTTAATCATGCGTCGAAATTCGTACGAATTGGTCGTGAGATAGTGTTGAACATTCTTAAAATGGCTGTTGCTGGCACTTACTCAGCAATCCACCCAAAGACACTGTACACCATTGAGGAGGAATCGGCGATAGAGCCTTGGGTGCTCAGCCTTTTCTTCATAAATGCAATAAATATTTTGATTTATAGATTTTAATGTGTGATGACATAAGTGAAAGGTTTATTTTATGTTTATTTCAAAACTCCAAAAATAAATCTTCTAAAATGAATAACTAAAAAAGAAAATAATGTGCTATGACCTGTGGCAGTTGTTTCAAGTTTACACTTAGAATTGATCGAATAGAGTAAACGGGTAAAATAGGCCAATTTTGTGTGCTCCAAGCTTGGCCCAACCCCAGGGTATTCTTCTCCCCCGTATCTCCGGCTAGGAAAAGGACCCAGCCAAGAGTGAGGAGTTGAGGTGGAGGGATGTGGGTCGGCTGTAAGCCTCGATCTTCTCAAGGTGATTGGACACATAATCTCTGGAGATGCAGACATGTTAGAGGCTGACAATTAGCAGAACCACTTACGCATTTTAAAATCTATATTTAAATATGGCAACATTTGTATTTTAAAACTTATATATATGGCAACATGATACCTTATGTCATATTTCTATGATTAAATCACTGAAAGAGACCCCTACCCCATGACTGTGTGCATAGATAGTTAGCATGATGACATCATGCATAGCAACAGGGTCAACCCCACGCTTTCTCTTAGTTTAAGACTTCTCTCTATTCCCTAGGAAAAGTTGTCCTCAGCATCTTTGTGAATAGGTTTCAAGAGGAAACTCTTAAGAACCTTTACTGCTATTTAGGAGAAATCTTAGTAATAAGATAAAAAGTTTTGAGAATGCAGTCCCAGATCACTAGTAGTTCATAAGGTAACACATGGGTAATTATGATGCAATTTATGACCATTTTCAGGGTAAGAACATTTTTTTTCTTATGTCTCAGACATTAATGATGTGATTAGTTAATTGGTAATTCTTAATCTTTTGTAATGGTTAGTAGATCTAAATGAGGCTAATCTCATTCAAGAATTATTGATTGCCTACAAGGTGTCAGGATTATGTTTTGTTCTGGTTCTGTTCCTCTTCCTTGTCATATTAAGTTCATTCATTCATTTATTTCATTTTATTGTCCACAATGTGGAAATTTGCCTTCGGTCTCATAAAAACAACAATCAAACAAACAACCAACAACAAGAACAATAACACACAGACATCTTCAGGGCAAAATGCAGCACAGCAGTAGCAATCATGTTACAGTGCATCAACGAGACTTGGTGTTCAAATTCCGAATTGCATTAGGAACAAAAGAATTTTTAAAGATATTACGATTTGCCCTAGGTACTTTGTAACGTCTGGCAGAAGGGAGAAGTTCAAACTCCCTATTGAGTGGATGAGTAGGGTCTTTTGCTATTTTAAAGTTGACCTAGTTTCATGTCTCAGTTTGTTCCCTTGGTTCATGATTACGCTCAACTATTGTCCTATGTTAAATAACTCGGTATTTAAGTCCTGTATTCATTCAGTTCATTGTTCGGTGTTAAATACAGAAGCATTAATATAGTTTACTGTCTGTTCACTTCCGCTAAACAAACCAAACAAAACACACCCTACTACCATTATTTTTTAAATAATTGTCTTTATTCGTAATGTATAATGTTTTTTATATATATATAACTTGAAATAACCTGACTGTAAAATGTGTTTAAGATCAGCTCTGAATTCCTCTGACTGAAATCACTTTAATTTAAAATAAACTATAGTTGTAAGGAACAAATATACACAAACATTGGTTAAATAAGTTGTTATAATTAATTATGTATGTAATCTAAACTATAAAATCATATAAAAACATTTGCTCTGTAACCCTTTTACCAAAAAAAGTTTAATATTTTCTCATCTGTGACTAAAACATAAGCCTGCGCTGATGGTATAGGATGATAATTAGACATAGTGAACTAACATTTATGAATGAAGACAATCTAGAAATGAGAAGCAACAAGAAAAAAACAAACAAATCAAGTTTATGAATACAGAATACATATTATGTGGCATTTAAACGCCTGACTGGAAGACATTGGAATCACTATGTGAAAAAACAATGAATGTGACGTACATTAAGAAATTAAGTTGTTAAATGTTTTATTTCCATAAGCCAAGCCAATAAAGCATATAACACAGTTCACTCAAGCCATTTATTCTAATGTAAACTAATCCTGGTTCATCTCCTTCCCTGGACCTCTGACCTCGGCATATACCGTCTCTAGTCCTGAGCCCTGTACTGAGGTGATTTTAGTTTGGGTAGTGGAGAAGTCAATCTCTCCATAGTGGACTACGTCGTTCTCATCATTTGGCATCTCTAGCTCTTCACCCGGCACAAAACCACCATTAGCATAAATGGTCTGCACTTGTTTTTCCAGACCCTGAAAGGGGCAAACATAATAAATTTACTGTTTATGTGGATCCACTGTCCTTGGTTTTTAGTTTATGTATATAATAAACCATTATTGTAAAGAGTGATAGTGATATCTGCTTGTTATGGCACTTCCTATCTGAAATGGCAGTAATGTGATCTGCTAAAATAGTGTAAAACATACCTGATCTGAGACGTCGGTTTCCTTAATAGTGGATGCCTTTACTCTTCGCACTCTGTTTTAATAAAAAAATAAGAAATACATAACGTACCACCATATTGTGAACACCAAATTAAATGTTTCAAAGAGAAATGACAGGTCTGAATTTATTTATTCCGAAGTCTGGTTGATCATTTCCATATACAATACACCATCTAACTGTGCTTACCTCAGGAAAAGTGTTATCAGAAGAAATGTCAACAGAATTGCTGAAACTCCTACTACACTGCCAATGATCACAGACTGATCTAATGAGCCTGATTGAAAAAAATAAAGCAAAATTAGTTGGTCAATATAGGCTATGCATATCATTTAAAAATAAAATTCAATCATAAAACTGGAGCTAACTATGATGATCATCAGATAGTACATAGAAATAAACTCACCAGTCCCACTTTATATTAAGTGGCTTTAAGTACTATGTACTTACATTGAAATTAATAATTTGATACAATGGACTTATTGTGTACATACATGTTTTTACATTGTACTTACATTTTAAAATTCCAGCATGTAATTACAGCTATGATTAATTTATGTAATTACATTTGTAATTACACAGTTGACCCTACCCTTGCACCTTAACCTACCCTTAAACTGACCCATACCACCACACCTGTCCCTAACCTTACCCGTATCACACCTCAATAGCAGCAAGTGTTTTACAAAACAACAGGAACACAATAATACATTGTACTTACTGTTCAATGTAAGTACATAGTACTTAAAGCCACATAATATAAAGTGGGACCAACTCACCTTCCACAATCAGCTGGATCTCTACTGACTTCTGAATACCATGTGCATTCATTGCTGTGCAGAAGTACCAGCCTCCGCTGCTACTATTTACAGTAAAGGTCAGTTCTCCTAAATCCAGCTGCTTCTCCTGTCCACCTTTGTGCCAGAGGGTGATGTTACCTGATGGATTGGCTTTGCTTTTGCAGGTCAAAGTCACATTAGTGCCAACAGAGACTGAAGCAGATGGATCGATGGTGATGCGAGTTTCTTTTGGTGAAACTTGAGGGCAAAATAGAAACTTCTTAAGATAAACTAGATGTTTTAACACATCTGAACATAATAATGCTAATGAAAGAGCAAAACTACTCTAGATCACTTACACAGTACTTGTAGCATCACAAGACTTGAGTCATTAAATGCTTTTCTTGGATATGTAGCAATGCAGGAGATGTTCTTTTTGTGATCCATGTATGAAGCTTTGAAGGTCATGTGTGAAAACACTAACTGGGTTTTATCAGGTTTCTCCTGTAACTGTGTTGTAATGTGGGCAGAATTAGGTATGTAAGACCAGGATATTGTAGGAGGTTGTTCTGGGCAGGGGGCTTCAGCGGAGCAGCTCAGATTCACTGTTGTGTTCTCCATTACTTCTTTCAGATCAGTGGGTTTAAGTTCAGGAGGTTGTGGTGAATCTACAGGGCACAGTAAACATGGTATAAATTGCTGTTAAATTTAAGGAAAACATACAACAGCTATCCACCTTATTCCTGTGCCCCATGACGCTTTGCGCAAATTATGGGTGTAACATCTATTAATCTGTAAACAATTAGTGAAAAGCTCGCGCTATGAATGCAATAGGTTAAAAAAAGTGTCACAATGAGATGCATTAACCGACTCACCCTTCAACCATCGAACATTAAAATAAAATTTAAAAGTTTAAAAGAATCAACAGGGACTTTCAACAGACCAAAAATAGCCCCATTAGTGCGAGTCTTTGGTTAAAGATCACTGTAGTAGGCAAATATCTGTATTGTATAACAAGCCTTAATCAAAAAATATTCATTAACTATAGGTGACAATATGAAAGTGATTTCCGTCATTTTGACTGATTATAAATTGCATTTAACCTACCTGTGAAAACAAACCTGGAAAGGGTGTATTCCAGTGAATTATTAATGGAATATCGTAAATTAAATTCAGGAAAACAGACAACGCATGTGCCGTATATGGTGTCCTTTTTCATACTTTTACAGTGGATTGCAAAGAAAAAAATAAAAAATCATCACGAGGAAAAGAAAGCAGCGACTGAAATGAGCTCTTGCCATTTTTATTATAACATGTCACGTTAAAATACCATAACGTTATCCTCATGATGTCTGAAAATAAATCATGAAGGAAAATTGACAGCTCACCCAGTCAAACTGATGGATCAGCTTTATTTGTAGGGCACCGTTATGATTTGAAATGATTCATTTTAGCCTTTTTGAATGGAAATTCCCCAAACCGGAAGTGACACCCATAATTCAAAACGCAGTAAGGTCGTCAGGAATAAGATGGATAAACACACTCCAAAAACACAATCAACATACCCAGAGAGGATACAATAAGTTTTTAAATAAACCAATAAATTACCATGCATGAAACCTACGTCACATGCACAAATTTATTAAACATTCACAAAAAGCAAATTATGTGCACACAATACAATAACGTATTCATAAAATAAATTTCACAAATCCAAATCAAAATTTAAAGATGAACAACATATAAAAAGTTTTGAATGTTTAAATTTTAGTTTACTTGATTCATTTGATTTTATTATTGAATCTGAAATTGCAAATCGTCACAAGTTTATGTATTGTTTTAGAATTGTGTGCCTATTTTAATGGAAAGTCATGCTGCCATATTTGCAAGAGTTTTGGGCAGCTTTTTTTTTTTTTGAGCATTCAAGATCAAGTCCTGTCTATTTGAATTGAGAAATCCTGAAAAGTGTTTGCCACACCCTTTTTTATATTAACAATGACTGTTAGCCTATATATAGAACAATGACTGTCTCTTTGGCAACCGCAGCTTCTAACGGCAGCTGTAATGCCGCGATGACTTTACCAATTGCTGCTTTGGCTTTTTTATGTAGAATGCAGGACTTATTCCGCCATCTTGCTCATATAGGTGTACTTGATTCCAGTTTTTTGAAGTTGACTGACTCTCACTATAGGAGTTAATAGAATCGTTTCCTCGAATTCATGTGCTTTACAACAAAACAGAGTCAGGAAGAGAGCAGTCATTAAGCAGGGAATGCAAATGTTTATTTGGATAACTAAATACAAAGAGGCCGTAATATTGCATCCTATTGTTTTCAAATGCATTTGAATAAGGGTGCGCTCTGTGGAAAAACGAGGGGTCTGAGAATGCGGGACTCTTTACTGTCTTCCCGTCTTTGAAACGAAACGTACATACGTTTAGATGTAATTTTATATACAGTTATGTTTATTTAATATAATTTTAAAAAGAAGCTTAAACACAACAAGGGGTGTCTGTTTTTGTGACTAACGTTTCTTTAGTAAAACCATGGAGTATAAAATTCAATATAAATTCTCGGTATTGCATTGGACTCTACGATTGGCGGAAGTTATCGAGCATCCTTACACCTTCACCGGAAATACCACCATGCATAGTGCCCATACACAATATGGCGGTGGTTCTCAAAGAAATCTGAGACTCGCTATGACAGCAGATGCGCAGTGGCTGGTTTAGCCTAAAAAAATATGCTTTTTACTGCTATTTGAGCATAAGAAACAACATTTGAGATTTTGTTGCAGATTTAAAATATGCACTTGTTTGTTCGACAAACAGTTTTTGATATTTCAGGATTCTGCCATTCAAATAGATCTAGAGAAATGGGTCTTAGATGCTTGAAATAATTGACTGGAGGCGTTACACAAATACGGCCGCCAAATGAGACTTTTTTCTTAAAAGTCTCTTCTTTGATGAAAACACCATTATTTAATTTATTTTCCCAAAAAAATAAATAAAAAATACTCAGGGCTTTCACAATAATGGATCCTAATCAGGATGTAAAATGTCACAACAGATTAATATAATTTGGAGTAATATAGTATAGAGCCCCACTCACCTGAGACCAAAATGTTGATGGCATTCTGATATGAGTATAACCAATCCGGCATTATTTCCACCCTGAAGTAGTAATTGTCCGAATGATTGCTCATCATATCATAGAAAACTGTGGTACAGTCAAGTTGACTAAGATTTCCAGTTATCTCTATACGATTGAATCCTGTGGTGATGTTTGTACTTCCATTATAAACTACCAAACTCCCTGGTTCTCGAAAAGCATGATGATGCTTAATCCAGACACCAGATATACGTGTTGCTCTTCTCAGTTTGTCCTTTGGCACTTCAAATGCACAAGGTATCCGCACACAAGAGCCGCTCAGTGCTGTTATTTTGCTAGGCAATGTTGCAGTTTCTGAAAACAGAACAGCAATATAAACAAACACATTAAAATATATTGAAGTGCAAAATGAGTGTAATATAGAGTTCAAAATTAATTCTAACAAAATATACCATTTCTCAAAAGAAAGTAACAAACGTACAAAAACACTTACACAATTACTGTACTACAAAAAGTTTTTGATTATTTTCATTTAAGTTGTAAAGCAACTGCGGTCTCACCTGCTGAAGTTTCCAGTACGAGTTCATTGGAGAAGAACAGAAAAATCATGAAAGGAAATACAGACATCTCGCGTGCTGTAAGTACAAACACAAAAGACATGAGTTTCCAATCTACAAAAAGGTTTCAAACGGATGTCACTTTTTCTTTTGACTCTTAAAAAGTTATATTTTCTGATTTTTATTTAATGTGATATTATATTTTTTAATTGGATAGTCTCAAATGTGCTGAATGAGAAACAATAAATTGATAGAGAAGCCTCACCTTGAGCAGGACAGTCCGTCATACATTCAGAGTAAAATAGAAGTCCAGCACGATTTCCTCACAGACTATGAATTTCTGTGATCTGACTACTAGTTTTCAGACAGAGTAATGATGCAGAGGTTAACTACTTCCAGGAGTCTCCTCCCAATGTGTACTTTCAGCAGGTGAAGCATTTAATATTACCAGAATAAAATAAACCAAATGCCCAAGTCTGTAAAAGTCAGAATTCCAAGTCATATAGAAGATCAAATGACCTTTTACATTTAAATTCTTTCTGTACTTCAGCACTAGAATATCATTTAACAGTGTTTTGTCTGCATTGAACAACTGTCTGTTGTTTGTCGCACTTCCTCGTGCAAACCTGTTTATCAACCCGTCAGCAAAGAACAGAGAAGCTTTATTGGTTAATGATTACGGTTCAGAAATAGTATGTAGTATAGTTATAGTATAATATTGTGAGAATTATAATTCTCACTTCATAACACAATGGTGACTATTTAATTCTGAGAGAAAAAAAGTCAGAATAGCGAGATGTAAAATACAATTGCAAAGCAAAAGTCAATTGTGAGAGAAAGTCAATATTTTTACCATACCATCTTCTTCCGCTCATCCGGGGCTGGGTCACGGGGGCACCAGTCTAAGCAGAGATGCCCAGACTTCCCTCTCCCTAGACACTTCCCCCAGCTCTTCTGGGGGGATACGGAGGCGTTCCCAGGCCAGCCGGGAGACATAGTCTCTCCAGCGTGTCCTAGGTCTTCCCCAGGGCCTCCGCCCAGTGGGACGTGCCCGGAACACCTCCCCAGGAAGGCGTCCAGGAGGCATCCGGAACAGATGCCCGAGCCACCTCAGCTGACCCCTCTCGATGTGGAGGAGCAGCGGCTCTACTCTGAGCTCCTCCCGAGTGACCGAGCTTCTCACCCTATCTCTAAGGGATCGCCCAGCCACCCTGCGGAGAAAGCTCATTTTGGCCGCCTGTATCCGGGATCTCATGGGCAAACTCCCATGAACCCTCCAGCACCCTGTAGAGAGTATAGAGCTGGTCCAGTGTTCCACGGCCCGGACGAAAACCGCACTGTTCCTCCTGAATCCGAGGTTCCACTATCGGCCGTATTCTCCTCTCTAGTACCCTGGCATAGACTTTTCAAGGGAGGCTGAGAAGTGTGATCCCCTATAGTTGGAACACACCCTCCGGTCCCCCTTCTTAAAAAGAGGAACCACCACCCTGGTCTGCCATCCCAGAGGCACTGTCCCCGACCGCCACGCGATGCTGCAGAGGCGTGTCAACCAAGACAGCCCCACAACATCCAGAGACTTGTGGACTTAAGAGACTTGTCAATATTTTTTTTTTTTTGTTAATTCAGGTAGGGGAAACAAGCGTCACCAGGCTAAAAATCTGAGAAGGTAACACAAAGTTTATAGGTTTAACCAGCAGGAATGGGAACCAAATATAAATTCATGTAATGAGCCTGTTTAGATATCTTAAAACCAGATAGATCATCAAAACAAACCACACGAACATATCATAGTTAAATAGTTATCTTTATTCAAGACAATACAGAAAACATGGCATTTAAAACTTAAACTTATTTCCCCCAAGTTTATTAAAATACTGATAATGTTCTCATGTTTTGTTTGTTACAATGTGAAATGAAATAACTGTTAAGGTCATGACCAGCTCTGGACTCTGGCTGAAATCACTTTCATTTGCCCTTCTTAAATTTGCCTGATGTAGCACTTGTTTTCTGTTTCTTCTTGGCAGATCCTTTTATTTCAGGCTCCTATGTGATAAAAACAATATTTTACAAATAACTTTGCAAAAAAACACATGAAGAATCCATATAATTACCATAAACTGAATCATGAAAGTATTAATAATAAAGTAAATGATTAATTTTCAGAGTATTTATCTCAATATAGCCATTACAAGTTAGTTCCAGTCATTACACCCTACCTTACGCTTAGAAGAGATTGATCCGGTTACAGTAAAGAACGTGTCCAGTCGGCCCTGGGTGCTCACTTGTCTACTCTTCATGATCTTCTTACAGCCGTTACGGATACGATCCTCACTAAACACACACATTTAACACATTCATATTTATTTGTTTCATCTCAAAACCTCACACCACAACAGGTTTTCCACCAAATTGGTGTGGCTTTTATGCCAGAGCTGACGCTGTGGCACAAACATCATCAAATCTTATACACAAATAAACATGCCACATCACAACTAGGGCTGCAACAACTAACCAATAAAATCCATTATCCATAATTGATGACAATTAATTGTGTCTGTGTGTGGTACTCAAAGACCATCAGCCAGTCGCGTCGCTTTACAGTAGTGAATAACTGAATCTAAGATAGCGGAGGTGAGCTGCTGTGGGAAAGGTACACAAAATATTTTATAATGTATAATTTATAGTGAATGTGTGTGTTCTTCATACCACACACAAGTGAATATTTTGTGCTTTTGTTTTTATTGTCATTTTAATTTCTGCTTTAAATAGTAAACAATTGGTTGTTTTTAAGTTTAGAAATGTAAAGTTTGTATTTTAACCCTTTATCGCTTATAATGTACAGCATAGACTACATAGATATTCACTATATTTGTTTTCATTGGCTTTACATAAAAAAATAGTTTAATTAAAATAATTCTTCATGTATGATCATTTTTAGATTATCACATTTATTTATTTTATTTTTTTCAGATTAATCAATCAAAATAATCAGTTGCAGCCCTAATCACAACCTTTGTGTACAAGCCATTTCATATCCAGAGCCATTAATGTGGCATCAAAAGCTGCTTCTGCAATAGTTTGTAGTCATTTAGATATATTACGAATAAAGAAATAGCTGTTTATTTACAAACATGAAATTAACATTTTACAGTGACCTTGTTATATGACAGTGAACTAAATCAAACCCTAATTATATCGGAAGTACATGCTGAATAGTGAGTGTAAATACACTAACAATGACACCTTTAAAAGAAAGGGTGACGCTTTTATAAATTGTCTGTGTTACAGTGCAATTATACATTTAGGTACAAAGTAATACTAATTAACCACATGTTCTTACTATAGAGTTTGGATTAGAGTGTAGTTGCATGTAATTATGCACAATTTATAGTTTATGTAGTTCTAACAAGGACACTGTAAAATAGCGTGTTACCACGTAAAATGTGACTAGCATTTTTGTCATTTAAATCATTTTATTTTAAACTGACTTTTCTGATGTTACCATGTTTTAGAAGTTGATGCAGAGTCCTTTTGGCAGAAAATAGTGTTTGTAGAGATTTTAATTTGATTTGTACCTGAACTGTTTCTCAGCACACATGAACTGAATTAGTTTCTCCTCGTCAGGTTCGTTCCACTTCAGATCGACAGATGGGCCGTCCACGACCTCAGGCTCCAAGAAAAGACCCCGAGCCTCTTTATACAGCCAGTCCTCTGGAGCTGGGTGCTTCTGCAGCACAAACCAAACAAACAATATGTTGGAAGCCTACTTAAACTTAAAAGATGAAGGCTGGATGTTGTGTTTTATAGCAACAATTAAACTGCAATTTACTTTTAATGAGAGAAGTAGCGCGATTCACTTCTGTCTTCTGCAAAATATCAGGGATGCAAACAGCGCGCTTTCTGGCACCTCCCACTTTCTTCACATCAGTTTGGTTGACTTGTGTGAATCATGCAGATCCGAAGATATTTTTGTGGGGGTGGGGGGTGTCTGATTATAATTTCACCAACAATAATTCTGGATTGCCTCCACAAGTAAATCAGACAATAAGCAAATAGATTTGCCATGTTGCCAAGTTATTTTACAACAAAACAATGCAATGACCACTAGAGGGCACAATTGATCAAGTACATGATCATGGATGTGATTTAAAAGGGTGCATCACTAAGATTAGCATCATCTTGAAGATGTACTGATCTGCAATGTGAAATTCTGTAGGGGTGGATTCTTAAATCCTCTACCGCTTCAATTTATATCCCTTTTGAGTGGTTAGTTATTAATCAATATTTATACTTCTAAATATTAAATGACTTGAATGACTTGAAGCTTGTGAGATTTTAGTTAAAGAACTACACGTCTTAACTGGAACGTCCCCATCTCTGTCTCCTGGTCTTCATTCATCATCTCTGGTCTTAACTGTAAATTCCCCTACAATTCAATAATAAGTAAATGGCTTTAAACAGTGAAAAATAAACTTACATTTGGGTCAATATTGTCAAGGATCTCTTCAATAGAGCCGTGCTGTTTAATAAGGTCGATGGCCCTCTTGGGTCCGATTCCTTTTATAGTACCACAGTAGTCGCAGCCCAGAAGGATACACAGGTCAATGAACTGAGGAAGACATTCAAACATAGCGATCAGAAAGTATTTATTTATGTACAAAAGAGGATTTACTGAAAGCAAAGGTCTCACCTGTTGATGTGTCAGACCCATATCCTGTAGAATACGACTGAAATGAAACTCTTGGATAGGGAGCTTTCTAAGATGAAAAAGAAAAAAACACTTATTTGTGCGAGACCAAATGTCTCCATCTCCATAACAAATTCAAAAACTATTTCAGATTTGAAGCGCATCCAAACATACTTCGCTTCACTGGCTGTTAGATGCCTCAACAGGACTGTTGTTCCGAATGTCAAACCGTCCATATCTTCTGTTGCGGTGGCATAAACCTTCCCTGCTTTCACCAGAGCGGCACAGCTCGCCTCAGCCTCACATGGAGCCTTCATATGAAATATATACACGTTTGCTTAAGTCCACAAAATAATTATCTGCATAATAATATTCATATAACAATGATATTTATATAGTCGGCAGTCATGACTGGGGCAGTACCTCAATGTATGGGACTCCCATTAGAGTAAGTAACTTCTTGCATTCATCGTTGTGTTGTTTGGTGACTTTCACAAGTCGCTTACTGAACTTGTCAATGTTCTCCTGTTCACCTGTGAGAATTTTTTTGAAATTAGATCCATTTAAAAAAATATATTTTCAAGAAAACATGCCGTTTTGAAAGAGTCTGTACCTGCTTCCTGTGCCTGAGCTAGAAGTTTCTCAGCCTCCGCTCGTCTCTCGACTCTCTTCTCCAGCTGCAAGAATACAAATAAATACATGTTAAAAGTTTCCCAGCGGGGGTGGGGTGAAAATAATTTATTCGTGCCTTAAAATAGCTTAAATGTAACTACACCCCTGCTTAATGTACTATACAGCAGTGGCTCTCAAACTTTGAGTAATTAATGACAGAATTATCATTTTTGGGGTGAACTAACACTTTAAAGAAATAAGGTTATAAGTAGAGAAATCTACAGGCACAAATATGCCATCTCGTAATACCTGGAACAGTATCACAGTATTTTTGGGAACCGCAGCTTCCAGTTTTTGTTGTTTTGTAATATTGTTTTTTCTTTAGTTTTATCGATTTGTTTATTGCAAACATTCCCTTCAGCAAATTATAATTCAGAATTGTATGGATGAAAAAAAAAAAAGGTTTGGAATGACTAAATATTGTAGGGATGGGCAACGATTAATCGCATCCAAAATAAAAGTTTGAGTTTACATAATATATGTTTGTGTAGTGTGTATAATTAATGTGTATATATAAATACCCACACATGCATGTATATAGTTAAGAAAAATGTGTTATTAATATATCAAATATTTATATTTATATATAATATTAATTGTGAATAAATATATATAAAATATATACATGCACACATTTCTTAAATATATACATGCATGCATGGGTATTTATAAATACTAATTAATTATACACACACATATATTATGTAAACACAAACTTTTATTTTGGATGCGATTAATCGTTGCCCATCCCTAATTATTAGTATGAGTAAATATTGACATTGTTCTTTAGAGTAATTGCACGAGGTCTATGACACACCTCTCCTGATTTCATCTGAGGGGGCTTCCCATCAAACACATAAACCGGCTTGATGCCGCTCTCCAGCATTCGGATGGTCCTGTAGAACATGCCCATCAGGTGGCTGCGGAGACAATGACACATGTAAGAATGTTACGATCATGCAAAGATAAAGTGCCACATGGTTATATACTCAGAATCTACACCCGGGATTCCTCAAATAGTGGACCACGGCCCAGTTCCAGACACTGGCTTGGTTCCAACCAGACCATGAGACTTAACACCATTTGACCTTTTCTGCCATTTAAAGTGAACACTAACTTATTGCAGAGCTATATCCTAATATTTGTATGTAGAGCCAAACTTGCTTCATTCCAAGTCCTTTCTATTTTGTGGGCGTTGCTTCTCTCTCTGGAAAGAAAACCCGATAATGGACGCGTTCCTGGATTGCTCGAAGAGGACAGTATGGGCTGTCAATCCTCCAAAGAGAACTTGAGGTAAAATATTGTTTTCTTATATATTTTTACTTTTAGTTTTAACGTTAGCACCATCGTCTCTCTTTCGTTTCGCCATTTTTGAAAGTTGTGTACGGAAAATCTTCTGTGCTCCTATTGGTCAACCTCATTCATGTGATGGAACCATCGTGGACATTTATTTTTATCTACATTTATTAGCATTAATAATCAGCATGTTAAGAGCATTTCATAATGTCATACTAGGGACTTTTTTGTAGATGGCAAGAAAAGGCAAATCTAACTTTGAAATTATTAGTTAGCTATGTTTTCTGCTCATGATGAGGGAGTTATGATTGGGAGATTCATGTTGTTTGTTTTTAGGAGATACTTATTTTAAACAAAATATAAAATGGTCCATACTTCAAGAGGAAAACCCTGAACCCCAACCTAGTATCTTTGTCACATGGTGACCTTCTGCCATACATGGGTATCTAAATGTAAGATTAAAAATAGACTGATAAAACATCTGATTATACCCTTTAATATCCATATTCAAATACACTAGAAACCACTGCTTTTCACTGAGGGCCCAATATACTGATCTTTGATGACTATTTAGGATTTTTTTTTTTTTACAACGAACAACTGCTTCCCAGCTGCACATCCCAAAATATTGTTTATTTGAATACCATTGATCTACACTTTGAACTCAATCACATTCTCATTCATTTCAATCATGGACAAATGATAGTAGACAACACTATATACCTAGTGGTCTCTCCATCTTCATTTTGCAAAACATTTCCGTCCTGTCTGACAGCGATCAAAAACTGGTAGATGCACATGGACGCATCAATAGCAATCTTCCTTCCTACATGCGAAAATAATACAAAAATATAAACACACACACGTTTTACTTGGAATAATAATCACAATCTCATTTAAATGACAGGGGACCTTACCAAAGTAGTTTTTGATGTCTTGCTCCTTGATGGCTGAAGGCGCGTGATCTGCAATAAGCTTTGCAAGACCGTGAATTCCCATAGTGATGTTGTGATTGACGTTAGATATCTAAATAGATTAAAACCCCAAAAAGCGAAAGTATTAGTTGCAAAAATAAAAACCAACACAGAACAGTTCATGGATCGGAATGGAAGCTAAATAAGGAACGTTAACGTTATCCCAACAGTTTCCACACTGCTTTCATGCATCCAAAACAAAGCTTAAAAGCCCGCAAATGTCATAAAGCGGCTTATGCACGCAGCGCATTTATGTAACAACACTTTACAGACTGCAAAACGCAGAAAAAATAGTCAACTTACCAACTAATTGTTTATTTTAGTTTTTCGCTTTTCAGGCATACACATACAAACGACACCTCGAGAACACGCGTCGTCAATTTCGCGCGAATTCTAACTAAGGCATAAATAGTCGAGTTCTTGTGAAATCGATGGAATCGATGAATCATATTTGTCTAGTTCAGCCTTCGCAAGGAAGAACAACGGACACGGATCTTCTCGAGCGATTAGTAAGGACTGGCTCCTTTTAACAGTGGCGAAACATCCATGAGAGAGAGAAGAAATTACATCGATGTTCCTGATAATGGTTATCACCTATTAATGAACGGAAAACGTTTGAACCCTCACTTAAAGTTGTGATTTAAAGAATCCGAGGGTTTTTGAAGCAGTTGCAGGTGTTTGCGCTGTAGCCACGCCCACCCCGGAAGATCCCAAAAAGGGTGTTTTTATTTTTTAAGGTGACGTGGATTCGCTGTTTGCCGCTGCTGCTTTCGACCTTTTGGCTGTTTCATCGCGTTAAAGCAAAGACTGGATATATTCAATCACCAGCAATGGTCAGATATGACATTACACATACGCGCGTGCTGTTGACTGGATTTTGAAAAGAAAGAGGCGATTCTGAGGAATCCGAGGAAGCATCTGAAACAGGTTTGGTGCATTTATCGGATGCGGAAGTATGTAAAGCATCTCAGGCTAAATGTTTATTGTGCGATTTGTTTATAATTTGTTTATGTCTGAAGGATGCTAGCTACATCTGTTTATATTTAACCTATTAAATCTAATTTAGATGAATCTAGTGGAGGACGTTGGGAAAATTGTCAAATTCTTCCATTAGGAGACTCCATAAGAACTGATTTCTGTAACATTTTATTTTACAGTGTCGTTACACATATTACATGTACTTACTATAGTAATAACAGTACATTATGTATAATTTTACAAGCAACTGAACCAAACACTATATGAAGTAAGCTATATGTTGTACATTCATTTTACTAAGTACTTATTTGTGTAATTGTAATAAGGAAACCTTCAAATAACGTGACATAACAGCTTTTTTTACATTACATTGTCCATTTATTTACCTATATTCGCTTCCATATTTAACAATCATATAATTATTTCATTCGAGTGAAGTATAATATGTAGTTGATGCATAATAAATCCTTAAACGTTTGTTATCATTTCTCTTAAAGGGACAGTTCATCCCAAAATTAAATCATGAAGTAAAGGGATAAATCGCCCAAAAATGAAAAGTGTCATAATTTACTCAACATCACTGTTTAAAAAGGTTCTAGATGTAGTCTAGCATGTCAAACCACTGGACCTGTCAACCATGAGCCATTTAAAATAACTATGTAAATGTTTTTTTGTTGTCTGTAAAGTTGCTGATCCCCTTTACAGTCTTGATTTGCTTACCAACAGGTGTCATGGCAGCAAGACTGGAACATTCAGGCCTGCGTGTCGCTGGTCGATCCCTGAGGCTCTGTGTGCTGGTTCTGTGCCTGCTGCCTCACTTTGGCTGGACAGTCAGTTACAAGCAAGGCGATCCGGTGACCCTGTACGTTAACAAAGTTGGTCCATATCACAACCCTCAGGAAACCTATCACTATTACACTCTGCCAGTCTGCAGACCTAAAGAGGTGTGTGTGTGCACTGCACAAATCAGTATTATCTGGATATATTAGTGTGCTTGCTTTATGACCTTATGGTTCAAAACATGTCAATAAAATGTACTGATAGTGCAGCTCTATCACCTTGTGGATGATTGATTTGTTTGCAGGTCCATCATAAAGCCTTGAGCCTGGGAGAGGTGTTGGATGGAGACCGTATGGCTGAGTCTCTTTACAACATCCGCTTCAAGGAAAACACAGAGCGACTGCCGCTATGCACACTCACTCTTTCTGAGAAAGAGGTAGCAATGCAGACATTCAGAACATTTTTAAAATGTCAAAACAATCTCCGTTCACACAGATCCACGAAAACGAATAAAAACGCTGTATTTTGCTGCCGAGCGATGGAAAACTATAGACTGAACACGTTTTATGCGTGTGCATGACGTCGTCATCTTCAGAAATTCATGTTTTTGCTGTTTACACAGGGAGCGTTTTCAAAAATGTGCACTTTGAAACCACTTTTATTTTAAAACTTTGCATTTTCAGGCACCCAAAACGCCGTAGTCATGTAAATGAGCGGCCAAAGCGCCGTAGTCGTGTAAACAGCCCCTTATTTAGTGCATAAAATACTTTTGGGATTTTAAAGGGGTGGTAAAATGGCATTTTCACAAGATGTATAATAAATCTCTCAGAGTGTGTGAATTTTTAGCACAAAATACCCCCCAGATATTTTTATATAGCATGTTAAAGTAGCACTTTTTTCAGGGTTTGCAAAAACGCACCGTTTTGTGCCTGGCCCTTTAAATGTAAATGAGCTGCTGCAGAGGGCGGGGTTTCAATGTGTTAGCAGCTGCGATTACCTTATGCAGAATCACTAAAATTACAGAAACTGTTCTCCCTTTAATATTAAAGATGGGAAGACTCAAGAAGAAGTGACAACATGTAGAATGCAACAGGACGCCTCTGAATGGTTAGTTGATGAATTTATGTTGCTGTTTGGAGTTAACTATCTTCAATTCGCATATTCTGTCATGGTAATCTATAAATCACTCGTATAGGAACTGTTGTGAGTACATTTTAGGGTTGGTGACGTCACTTACCTGGGAGGAATGTCGTGTTGTCCCTACCAGCCGTTTGTTGTAGTCCTTTTCTTTAAAAGCAAATATCTTCCTTTGTTTATAACTTTGAACGTTGTAACTTTGATACTGTATTTTATACTCAAACAGCAACATTACACACTAACTAAAGTTAGAAAAGTGAAATCATACTTTACCACCCCTTTAAGTTTGTGATTTTGTTAATGGCACTAGGAATGTAACATTTTGGGAAATTATAGCCAATAAACCATTTCTCTGTATGGCAGGCTTCTCTATCCTGCTCAGGCTTTAATCAAACATGGCTGAACCAGCTAGTCAGGGTTTTCAGGTTCATTTGAGAGTGATGGGTGTGGTGGAGGGTTGGAACTAAACTGTGCAGGAAGGATCTCCTGGAACAGGATTTAACACCTTTTAATGTCAAAGAAGGGGAAAGGGCAGAGATGTATTGTATAGAAATGGCTTCAGATGTCTTCTATTTTATGCTTTTTTGAAACTACAGGTGGATCAGTTGCGAGAAGCTGTTGAGGAGCTGTATTACTTTGAGTTTGTCCTTGATGAAATTCCCATCTGGGGTTTTGTGGGATACATGGAAGAGAGTGGATTCCTGCCTCACAGCCACAAGGTCTCTTTCTATGTCTCCATCACTCACTCACTCGCACACATTCAGTGGCCCCAAAAAGTGTTTGGACACTTTGCCGCAATTTTAAATGGATGCATTTCTTTACATTAGATAAGAATATATCAAAACACGCATTGTTGTTTTTACCAAAAACACTTGTTAAAAATATTAAAAATATTCAGGGATGGGATTTCCCCGTATTTTATACGGATTTCAATATTTTCCAGCCAATTTTCCATCAAAAAAATGCAGCCTTGGTGAGCATAAGAGAGTGAAAACATAAAAAAAATTGTTGTTATTGTATTACATATTTTTAAATATTAAATAAATATCGTACATTAAGTGTCCAAATCTTTTTTGAGGCTGCTGTGTGCTCTTTGACTGTTTTGATATATGATAATTCAGTGAATAAAGCATCATGTCTCTCTTTATTCCTTTTTTTTTTTGTACATCATCAGGTGGGATTGTGGACACACTTGGACTTCAATATAGAGTACAACGGAGACTCCGTGATCTTCGCCAATGTGTCTGTGAAGGATGTGAAGCCGGAGCCATTAGAGGAAGGAGGGGCAGGCCATGGTGCTGGTGTCGGCAGTGGCGGTCTGTCCATCACACACACCTACAGTGTTCGCTGGTTTGAGAGTACGTTGCCCCATTCACGCAGAGCAGAGCGCCTCAGAGACTATTCCTTTTTTCCCAAGACTCTGGAAATTCACTGGCTGTCCATCATTAACTCTCTTGTGCTGGTGGTGCTACTGCTGGGCTTCGTCATCATCATCCTCATGAGAGTGCTGAAGAATGACTTTGCCAGGTGAGGAGGGATCTAAAGTCACATTCACATACGCAAATCGGGTTGATTACATAATTGTATTTAATTAATAATGTTGTTTTTTTTTGTTTTTGTTTTTTTGCTAAAAGTTTTCAGCCCTTACTTATGGACCTTAAATTCTGATTAGATAAGTGGCATTTAAAACACACCTGTGAGCTCATTTTCTAATATGACAAATTTCAATGTAACTCGGACACCACAAACAGCCTGTACACTCACCGGCCACTTTATTTGGAGAATCAATACTCATGTAGGCTGTGCCGTTTAAACGATGCTCAATTGGTACTAATGGGCCCGTTGTGTGCCAAGAAAACATCCCCCACCCCATTACACCGCCAGCAGGAGTCTTTACGAAGCAGGATGGATCCATGCTTTCTTGTTATTTACAACAAATTCCGACCCTACTATCTGATTGTTGCGTTAGAAATCGAGACTCATCAGATCAGGCAAGGTTTTTCCAATCTTATATTGTCCAATTTTGGGGAGCCCGTGCAAATTGTAGCCTCAGTTTCCTGTTCTTAGCTGACAGGAGTGACCGACGTGTCTTCTTCTGCTGTAGACTATCTGCTTTACGGTTTGACGTGTTGTGAGTTCTGAGATGCTCGGTTGTATTTAGTGATTATCTAAGTTACTGTTGCCTTCCTATCAGCTCGAACCACTCTGGCCATTCTCTTCTGACCTCTGGCATTAACATGGCATTTTCGGTCACAAAACTGTGGCTCACTTGAATATTAGGCATAAACTGAAAATAAGCATCACTTTTTATGGAGCCCCACCTAGAGGGACATGGTTAGGCTTTCTGCAGTAGTCGATTACATTATAGTACATCAGATTGTATTATCATGTGAGTGAAGATAGTAAGGAGAGATGACTGACAGGATGAGGTTGGAGGATTTAGTGTGCAACAAATCCTGACAAAAATCTAATCTTGTAAAATGTGTGATCAATACCGCCACTCCATATACGTATGCGTGATTGCAAATTCGATAGCGCCCTGATACCCGCTAATTAATTACAATATTATTACCCTTATTATTATTAACTATATAATTGCGAGTAAATACAAAGGCATTCATTCATTTTTTTTCTCTCATCTCATATCACCATGTCCCTTTAGAGCAGGGATAGGCAACTTCAGTCTGGGAGGGTTTAGCTTCAGCCCTGATAAAAACTCACCTGCCTGTATCTATCTAGTAATCCTGAAAATCTTGATTGCCTTGTTCAGGTGTGTGTTAAATTAGGGTTGGAGCTAAACTCTGCAGGAAAGTGGCCCTCCAGGACCGATGTTGTCTATCCCTGCTTTAGGGCTCTGAAGAATTTCCTTTCTGAACATAATATTCGGCTTTGGGCACATCCTTACTGGATACTCTTTTTTTTTTTTTTTTTTTTTCTGGATCATTCTCTGTAAACACTAGAGATGGTGGTGTGTGAAAATCCCAGTGGATCACCAGTTTCTAAAATACTCAGATGGCACCAACAAACATGACACGTTCAAAGTAACTTAAATCACTTTTTTTCCCGTTATGATGAAAAAAAGGCACCGTTTGGATTTAAATAGGCAAATGCTAAGATTGCTAAGCAATCAAATGCTAAGTCTAAGATTGAATCAATATTGCAGTGGAAATGTTGTGATGTTATTTCCATCAAGAGGTAGGCTGCATACATTTGCTGGGCAGTGTGTGTGCATATACAGTAAATATTATATTATTTAATTAATTTAAGGTGGTATTCTTAGCTGATCTTGAAGTCTGTTTGTTTACATTGTGCAGGCAAACTACTCTTAATTAAACTGTAATTTTAGGTTAATTAAGTTCATAAGAAAATGTGTCATGTTTATTACACATTCAATTAGCAGCACATTTGGTACTCCAGGGATCTCATATTCCCATTAGTCAATTTATTTCTGTTGTTCCCTGAGCAACACACGGCTCACCAAGGATGCATTTATTTGCAATATTGTGAAACATTTATATACAATTTAAAGTAATTGTTATATTAACATTTATTTATTTGATGGTAAAGCTGTCTTTAGTGTCACGATCATTCAGAAATCATTCTTATATGCTGATTTGGTGCTCAAGAAACATTTATTTGTACTATTATTATATTAATTTTATTATCATATATTCTTATTCATTTCTTTTTACTGACCCCAAATGTTTGAGTGATTTTGTATCATGTAAGTCTGGTGAAAGCAATGAAATAGTATTAGTATTTCTAAGTAAATGATCTATATAGAGGAAGGGAAGTGATCATTAATGAACACTGGACTGATGGAACGCTGTCTCTGTGTCTGCAGGTATAATGTGGAGGAAGATGGTGGTTGTGACGATCTGGATCAGGGCGATAACGGATGGAAAATCATCCACACAGACGTCTTTCGTTTCCCGCCATATAAGAGCCTCCTGTGTGCTGTATTAGGCGTCGGGGCGCAGTTTCTAACTCTGGCCACAGGTATCACATGCTGCAGTTTAAAGATATATCAAATCATTAAATGAATGCCTGTTTTCAAATGAGCTAGTGTGAGCATGCTAAATAAGTACATCATTTGAGGACTGGGCCGTGAGGGAGATAAGTCCCCCCAATAATTCGAAATAGCCAAATTGTCCCCCTAATACTTAAGATGTATAATGCTGCTCTGCTCTTCTCTATTACGCACTGCTCTGTTTGTTGTTCGGATGACAATAATTCAATAAAATGTTTAGGCTGCTCTGCTTCAGCGGTCTAACAGCACTTTTCAATTGCTGTGTTTACATGGAGCCTCATAATCCATTTGGAATCGGACTAGTAGCACAGTCGGAATAAAATTCACATGCAACCTCGTCAATCGGAATGATTTAACCAAATCTGACTGAAGTTTTTGTGCTTTAGACCTTTGCTAATCTGTTTGGCATATAAATACTTGATCGGATTGAAAACTGAAACTGGAAAGTTGTTAAAGAGTTGTTAGAGGAAACGTCTTCCTCCACCAGGTTAAATTGATCATGACAATTTTTTTTTTTTACTTTTAGTTTATTCCCTTAAATCCCTGTTAATCCTTTAATTATTTCCTTTAAATAAAATGACCAAAAATAATTTATTCCTTTATTTATTTTCCTATTATATGTATTTATTTAACTATATATTTTACATTTCTGCAAAAAATAAAAATAGAAATTGAGCCCCCACCTAGGTCAACACACGATTACAGCCTTGTTTTAGGATGACATCTCCATTCTAAAAATATTCATATTAATATCTAAAAATGTTAAGTCTCAAATCTGTTCAGTTCTAATAACAGAATAATGTTATAATAATGGTATAAAACAAATGTATTGGTATATGGTATAAAACCAAAAATAACATGGTTCAATTTTACCTCAATTCGTCTGTCACTGACCAATCATTTGTCTGAAGTATTATGTGTATATATGCAATATTATGTGTAAAACAGTCACGTCAGTTAGGTACTAGGGATAAAATTGGGATAAATATAGAACATGACCTTCAGGTAACCCTCTTTCCCGTTTTCCTAAGGAATCATTGTCATGGCACTGCTGGGGATGTTCAATGTCCATCGTCATGGTGCCATAAACTCTGCAGCGATTGTATTGTACGCTCTGACCAGCTGTGTGTCAGGTTACTGTTCCTGCAGCTTCTACACACAGATCCAGGGACAGCGCTGGGTCTGGAACATTATCCTCACCTCTGCGCTATTCTCTGGTGAGACACAGAAAACTTCTGTATTTATACATCTAGATGGTTTATGCAACAGGAGCACACTGTGTAGGGTATTTTTTCCCACAATGCAATGTGCTCAACAACATGATTTTATTTTAGATGTTAATCTCAGTCAACATACATATGACCTGTCACAATTGCAGTGTTTTTATCAGTAAATGTAACTGACATTTCACCAATTCACTGTTGCTCTCTTTGTTGTTCTCTTCTATATTTCACTCTCTCTGATTTGTTCAGCCCCCCTCTTCTTCACCTGGAGTGTGGTGAACTCCGTTCACTGGTGGAGCGGATCGACCCAGGCCCTGCCGGCCACCACCGTGCTTCTACTGCTTGGCGCCTGGGTACTGGTGGGCTTCCCCCTCACCGTCATTGGTGGGATTGTTGGAAAGAACAGAGCTGGCAACTTCCAGGCGCCGTGTCGCACTCGTAACATAGCTCGCCAGATCCCCCAGCAGCCCTGGTACAAACACACAGCTGTGCACATGGCCATCGGCGGCTTCCTGCCTTTCAGGTAAGAGCAGTGAGTCTTAGCAGATGATTTCCAGACAGTGGAAGAAAAAAAAAGAAAACTTAAAGGAAATATTTTTAAATTGTATTACTGTAGTGGCCAAAAGTCATTTCTGGATGTTTTTGCATGTGTTGATAATTTTGACAGCCTGGCCAAAAATGTATGTCCACACAATTTGGCATGCTTCATTTCGTTATTGTCACAGATAAACTACAAGAACAACCACGCAATATTCTAACAAAATTGTTACAAATTTTGTATAATATTTGAATGGGTATATTTGGGTATGAATGGGAATATTTGAATACAAATGTAAATTTTACATCCCTTTTGACGACCATTTTGAATATAATAGAATATTTATAATCCTTTTATATATAATACATAATATAAGAACACGTTTAAAAATGTTTTCTTGCATAGTATATATTCATATAATATCCCTTGTAAAAATATATATATATTATATAAGAAAACATTATAGTATTATTATAGAATGGAATAAGCATTGTTAAATGCAAACATGTTAACAGAAAAAAAAAAATATATATATATATATATATATATATATATATATATATATATATATATATATATATATATATTTGTGTTTATATAATATATTTATATATATATATATAATTATTCTGTTTATATAATATATTTGTGTTTGTGTAGAATATAATTATGTATGTGTATATATATATATATATATATATATATATATATATATATATATATATATACACACAGTATTTAGGTGCAAATAATTCTTTAAAATATATTTTAAATATATATTTTAAAATATAAAATTATTTAAATATATACATGCATGCATATGTATTTATATATACAAAATAATTATACATAACACAGCACACACATATATTATGTAAACACGCAATTAATCTTTTAACACTCCTAATATATATTCTTTACCTCACATGTTTAATTGGTCAAATAAACTGACCTGTTTGTGTAGTAATTCAGCACCTGCGGGTAGTTCTGTAGAATTAAATATCCTCATTTCTTTATATCCACGTGTGGCGCTGATATACGTCATTTTAAAAAACATGAATGTTTTCACTCATCCATAAATATTATTAGATCCATCAGCATGACAGGAAGTCTCATCATTCCGCTTATCACTGTGTCATCAACCTACGCCTTTGTTATTGTATAAGGTTAGCGACCCCTAGCGCTGAAAAAAATGACATATTTTAATATAATCTAATATAATACTTAAATGTTTATTATATAATAAAAATTATAATAAAATATAAATAAGTATGTATGAAAACTTGCTAATATAATATATTTGTAAAAATCAAAATGAAAAAATAAGATTTTTAAAAAATCATTATTTATTATATTAATACTACATATCTTTATCTCTCTCGACAATTGTTTTTCTCCTCTTGAATTTGCAGTGCCATCTCAGTAGAACTGTACTACATCTTTGCCACTGCGTGGGGTCGTGAACACTACACACTCTACGGCATCCTGTTGTGCGTGTTTGCCATCCTGCTCTCGGTGGGCGCCTGCATCTCTGTGGCCCTCACCTACTTCCTGCTCTCAGGCGAGGACTACCGCTGGTGGTGGAGAAGTGTTCTTAGCACCGGCTCCACTGGCATCTTTATATTCCTTTACTCTCTCTTCTACTACCACAATCGCTCCAACATGAGCGGCCTTGTACAGAGCGTCGAATTCTTCGGATATTCTTTGCTCACTGCGTTTGTTTTCTCGCTCATGCTGGGAACAGTCTCCTTCTGGGCATCTCTGGCTTTTATTCGTTACATCTACCGTAGCCTTAAGATGGACTGAGGGCCGTATGCTCTAAAAATCCCCCAATCCCCCTTGAAACGGGGAAAGAGACTTATGGAGCAGTTCCTCATGGATCCCTGCATGAGCAGGTTTTGTGTTGCTGAAGTATAATAAACTATCAATGCCAATCTTAAAAGGAATAGGGAACAGACAGAGCGACGGACTAAAGACTAATTTAATATCCCATTTTGCTCACCAACAACCTGATACTTAAAATTCACATAGATATATAGTAGCTAGATTATCTGCACATCAAATACAGAAGTATTTGAGAGTCAGCTGGATTGTTTGTGCTGCTGAAAGCGTCAGATTTTCATACTTCAAAATGTTGCTTACCATGTATCAAAGACTTGAAAGTTGTAAAGTCTGTTTTGGATTTTGTTAATGTAGTGACTACAATGATTATATGTCAGTTTCAAGACATAAGGGGACAAGAATAAGAGGCCTTCGTACTTTGTTTCAGAAGACCATTGAGAAGATAAAGCGCTTATGTGTACTGTAGGTGAGTTTACTTGATGATTAAAGGGGGATGTGTGGTTATATGGAAGGATATTATCATCTTTGAGGAAAAGAAACGTGCCATATTGTGTACATGGTGCAATATGCGCTTTGGGTTTAAGGAAGGTTTAACACAAGCAAGCTGAAGAAATGAAGAATAGATTATGGAAGCAATACCATTGTCTGAAGTCGCCATCAACTGTGATCTGCTGAAATGTAAATATACTATGTTTTCAATAAAGTCACTTTTATTACAGTAAGAGAAATAAATGTGGGTGAAATGCTATGGTGGTGTCGATCATATAAATGTTGGTAAATTGAAAAGACGAAAGGATTTAAAGATGTCAGGTAGGCCCTATGCCCTTTTGATCTGTTCTAGCATTCAAAAGTTTGGGGTCAGTTAGAGTTTTAGAATAGTGTCTCTTTAACCAAAGCTGCATTTATTTGATAACTTATTTGAAATATTAATATATTTTCAAATGAAATTCCCAGGATTACGTCAGTCATTACTTTAGACTTCAATGATCATTCCCATGCTAATTTGGCACTAAAGTAACATTTCTTATAATTGTTGTATAAAACAATTGTGTTTCTTAAAATTACACTAACTGTTGGTCGCTTAGCATTTAAAAAACAAAATGCATTTTGTGGAAGAATGGAAGTGAATGTGAAAAAGGTGACGTCATGCACATGCATCTAGACTCGATCGAAAAGCTATGCATTTTCCTCATAATCTTTTGGAAAATCGCCAAAAAAAAAGAAAAAAAAGAAAAGATCTGTGTTCAATTTAGAGTTGTGACCCTTACACGTTTTGTCCATCAAGATAATCTTTACTTATCCAAAATGTATACATTTTGAAGCATCTTTAAAGTTAAAAAACAAAACAAAAAAACAAGCAGGTTATTGGCGTGTTTGTCAAAGATCAAATATTTAGGTCAAACATAGGTCAAAATATTTAGAGGCTTTGTTAACCACATAAATTATTTGAGGCGATTTAGCAAAAACCCATTCGAAATGAGACTAGGGCGAGGGAACCGAAAGTGCTAAAATGCTAACTACGGTCTATGATGCTAACTCACGTCCGCGTTTTGGCCTACAAAGTGACGTCATAATTTTGCGTGTTCAGTCTGTAGGCGTTTAATTCTTTACAAAGTAACATTACCAACTACTGGCCTTGCAGTATAACAGCCTTTTTAATCATTTTCACATATTCTTAAGAACAGGATAATTGACAATATTTTTTCTGTACACAAAAACTACCATTTTTAGTGTAAACACTCTTAGGGGACATGTATTGGTACACAACACTATTTTCAACTAAAAACTGTTTTGAAACTTCATTTACATGAAAATTTATTTTATGGGTCTAAAAACAGAGACTTTTTTCTTAAAATTGGTTTCAAAAGTGTGAATTTATGAAAACAAGCATTATAGTTCGTGTAAATACAAAAATGGGGATGTCATACGCATGCTTGTTCAGTCTATAGGAATAGGTCCAGGCTCTTTACAAAGTAACAATTGCCAAATGACCCGGAAGGCATAAAACAGTGTTTCGTCATTTTGAAGGATCAGCATGAACAGGCATCATTGACAATGTTGTTGTCATCGGTTTTATATACAAAAAAAAAAAAAAAAAAAAAAAAAAAAGGTACATCGAAAAAAGAAAAGCCACCAAAAAAAAGTACATTTGTACATCGTTGTCATGTAAACGCACCTTTTATTCACAAGACACCGCTACAAGGCTGCAGTTAAGACCAGTCCTTATGAAACAAGTATAGGACACATTAAAAGCAGTATGTTTAAGTGTTGAGCAGGCCTATTATGGCAAATAACACTTGAATACAGAACTACATGCTGGGGGGGAAAAAAAGAAAAGAGCCACAAATTTAGGAACAGATAAAACATTTATTGCTCAACTGGGTCAAAGAACTGTTTTGTGTGGGCAGGAGTACTTTGCAAGCACAAAGCTTGAGTGTCAATTATAAAGACCAGATACAGGTGGGCAAGAATTTCATAAATGCACAAATGCAACAGATCACATACAAAAGCAGTAAACGCAGGGAAATTGATACACAGAACGAAACAGTGCAGACCACCTTTTCTTGTACACAGATGTAGAGCAGTGCCTTGCATTCAAATTCATGGAACTCATTTTAAGAAATCGACTTGTCCGGACTAAATCTAAAAAGAAAACGAGCACCTGGAAGAGCAGAGGGATCAAGATATTAAATACTCTGAAAAGGTACAATGAATTTATAAAAATAGATCTCGGTATAAAACACGCTCGGTTTAAAAAAAGGCAAACTTTACAGATTCAAAAAAATCTGTAAATCTTGAGACATGTCTAAATTGGCAACCCATGACATCACCTAAAAATATGCTTGTTGCCAAAAAATTACTATTTACAAATACAGGGAGTACCCAAGAGTACTGCAGGGGTGAGCGCAATGGATATATACACAACAAGCAGCCGCACTCACAGCAAAGTCATTCCTTTTGTTGACCATTGGGCACTAGGCATGGACGCCATTTGAGTAGGGCTGCTTCCTTTGTTCACTGCATTGCCACCATCACGGCCTTGAATGTAGCTAGAAGGGTTGGGGAACTCGTAGTGCGTCACAGCTGGGGGAAGAGGCCAGTTTCCCTGGGGTCTCGCAGTGGCCTGAGAAGGAGAGCGTGGCTGTGGGTAGCTGGGGTAGAAGGGCGTTTGTTGAGGACTCCTCTTGAACAGCAGCTCTCTCACCTGAGGGTTACTGTAGTGATCTTGGTTCGCTCGAGCGGTTTCAGTCTGAAACTTAAAAACAACACCACATTATGAGTAAATTAAAACTAATGATGGGTCATTTGTATCATCGTGCCTTTAAGACATTATCCAAACTACTGAAATGCCTCCTTTGTAGATGACAACTTGCTCTACGTCCACACTGATCAGTTCTGCTACCAACAAGACAGAACAAGCAACAGTGTAGACGTCATTGTTTTAAACCTGTATGACTTAATTCTGTGAAACTAAGAGATGATTTTGAAAAATATCCCCATATTTATCCCCAATGTTTTTGACCCAATTGACTTTCATGTCACGGATAATCATTTTGAGCATTCAAAATATCTGCTTTTGCGTTCCACAGAAAAACATACATATACTAGAGCTATATAGATTTTTATTACTACAGTTATGGTTAATTTGTACCAATTACAAGCGGTCAATATTTGGGTTATGGTCAGGTTAAGGTCACTATTCGGGTTTCTGAAACATTCGGAATAACCCGTTTACATGCATGAGCAGAGAAAGTTACTCGTGTATACATGGAATTTGTAATCAATTGGCAATATCCCGATGTAAACGGCGATGCACGGTTAGCGTCTTAAGACGTAATAGGAGTCACTTCCGATTCTTCTTCCTGTATCCAAAGACAACAACAGCACGCAAATAATAAATAGTTCGGGGCAGATAGCTATCGCCTTTGTTTGCGCTTTGGTGCTGGTCCAAAAGTATGGTGCGGTGCTGTGTCTTGCCATGTTTAGCTTTACTGGTTTACTTCCGGTATACTGCACGCAGGTTTTTGTAAAGTTAATCTACTCAAAAGACCAAGATTCGTTGCGAATAGAACACATGCAAAACACAAAATAAATCTTCCTTTTGATGGGGATATGCCGATACGCGTTTACATGACCAAATATTTGGGTTGGAAAAGGGGTAACCCAGGCCAGGTATCATATTCAGGTTTTTAAAAACCAGAATGAGCACATTCGGGATTTTGCTGGTGTTTAAATGGCCGTGCGCTACCGGGTTATTGCTAATATTCTGGTTATTGGCTGTTTGTAAATGTAGTCATTGTGCCTTTAAGACACCATCAAAACTATTGCAATGCCTCCGAGAACGTTAATTTGCTCTGTAAATTACTTCAGTGTAGATATAGTTCCTCTACCAACACCACATCACATTCTTTGGAAAGAAAATATTTTTTGTGGAAAAAACCTGTTCATTTGGACCCCATTGACTTAAAGGGATACTCCACTTTTTTGGGGCAAAAGCTCATTTTACCACTCCCCCAGAGTTAAACTGGTAAAACTCAACTTTTTCAAATCCATTCAGCCGATTTTCTGATATTTAGAAGAATCAGTAACCAGACTGATGAACCAGACTTTTTGGTCTCATTGACTTCCATAGTAGGAAAAAAAATATATACTATGGAAGTCAATGAGAGCAGAAACTGTCTGGTTACTGATATTCTTCTAAATATTAAAAAATAATAATCGGCTGAACACATTCGAAAACAGTAAAACCCAACTGTTTAACTCTGGGGGAGAGGTAAAATGAGCCTATTTCCAAAAAAAGTGGAGTATCCCTTTAAATGCATGGACCAAAATGGTTAAAACATTAATATCTTTTGTGTAGCTCTGAAGGAAGAAAGATGCATGTTTGGAATGACATGGTTTGGCCTGAAACACCACTCACCTGAGAATGAGCAGCTGATGCGTTTGATACGGCATTAACAACGTATCTCTCGGTCATGCAACTACTATCTCTTTGATGCCTCTTGAGTTTCATCCTACGATTTTGAAACCACGTTTTCACCTTTGGAAAGAAAAAGCGTTACTCATCATGACACAAACGGCAATCCATTAAAGCTTTAATTCGTTCAACGGTCTTCAGTCTCTTTAGATCACTGACCTGTTTGTATGTTAGTCCCGTCCCTCCAGCCAGCGTCTTCATCTCTGCGGGCGTGAGGTATCTCTGGACATTAAACCGGTGGATAAGAACATTCATCTGCTCTTCAGAAAAGGCAGCACGAGTCTTGCGAGGCTGGGCTGGACGTCGGGCTGGAGTGGTGGTCAGCGTGGGCACAGGCGGCAAGGCATCCACCCCAAAATTCTGACTCACCGGCTCCTCTCCTTCAACAGAGACGGAGTTTGAGATCGGTTCTCCGCTGTCAGGACTGCCACTGTCCGTTTCATAGTCCCGATCTTTCCAGGACGGGTGACTGAGATTGGTCAGAGCGCCCCCCTCACGACTGCTCCCAGAGCTCCAGGAATCTATACAAATGGGGGAAAATAAAAGCTTTACTTAATGGACAATGCCATTTGGTACATAGAATTGATAAACCTTTCAAATGAGTTTATACATTTGCTCTCATTTCTTGAAAGCATGGTTTATACACAAGTGTTCTTTATAATAAAAAAAAATAAAGAAAGAATTTTGATAAATGGAAATTAAGCTGTAAAACATACATTACATGAAAACAAACATTAAGAGGTTGCCTTGAATTGAAATAAGTTAAGTAGCCATACTAAAGTTGTTAGAAGTGGAAAAGGTAGCCTATCAATTAAAGTAAAACGTTAACAGGCAGATATTCTAAAATGTACTCCAATAACATTTGAATCATTCACAACTCCTTTTTATTTACGTTGAAACAACAAGTTATTTCTTCATATTGGAATATGGATTAAATTGGCTTTGCAACTATTTCGTGAGGCTTGATCAGGAGGTTTACCTGGGGTATGAGCCTCGGAGTCACTGGGTGTATCACTGCTGGCCTTCTCTGCATCTTTGACCTTTGGATCAGGCTCAGTCTTATATGAGATGAAGAGCCGTCCGTTCTGCGTGTGGCCCGGGTAGTTGCCGTAGTTGCTCGCATTGCCGTTCTCCGAGCCCCAGGATGGCGACTGCGGGGTGGTTTGAGAGGAGTAATAGCTCGCGGTGACCCCGCCGGACTGAGCGTACGCGGCCTCGGCCCAGCTCAGATTCGGGTGGCCGTGCTCAGACACCTGCGGGTACATGAGCCCGTATGCATATGCATGATAAGATGGGTTGAAGTTGTAACTCACTGGTATCTTCCAATCAGCCATTCCCTCGTCGGATGGACGCAGAGCAAAAACAAATGTGCAGAGAATAACACCCGACTACAAAACCCCAAAGGGTCAGACTACCCTCGAAAACAGATGCCGATAATAGCTCTCCTCCTCATAATCACGCGAAAAGACCCCTTGACATGACCTGATAAAAAGAAACGCGTGGAGAAGGTGATTTATAATGCCAGGTGAGTGAATGTGGGCGGGGCGGATTTGCGAGAGATGCGCGGACCAATCAGGGGCAGCTTCTGAGAGCTGGAAACCACACCCTCATTCTACATCAGCTGAGCCAGGTACTCTCACATTTACATGATATATTTGCATTTTTCATTTGGCGTTTTTGGTTTTACATTTTTAAATTACACAATTAGGCTATTTATTGATGAAAATTACACTGAAAACGTAATTGAAATTAAAAACTTTTGACTCTAAATTTTTTGAAACTTCTTGCTACACTCTAAATAATGCTGGGTTGTTTGAACCCAAATTTGGGTAAAATATGGACAAACCCGAATGTTGGGTTAAACATGTAATTTCAAATTTTAACCCAACTTCAATTTTCATTTTCATTTGCATTGCATTTTTAACCCAACATTTGGGTTTGTCCATATTTGACCCAAATTTGGGTTCAAACAACCCAGCATTATTTAGAGTATATATATATTTTTTTATTTAAACAACAAACTCTACAAAACTCTATAAAAACAGATAACTATTAATCTTTAAACCTATTACAGTAAAAAATATAATCATTACGAAAAAAAACACATTTAAAAACTGTATTTTTAACACACTTGTGTGAGAAATAGTGAGAAATATTTAATAAGCCTATAAAATTATTAGGCTACTTTTGATGTACGTGGCACCCATGGTTTTGTCATGTATAGGCCTACATGATTATAGAAAGATTATCAGTATTTTAAACCTAAAAATTAGCTACATTTTCCACATTTAATTAGTGCAGTTCCTTCTCATCCCTCTAAACCATTGTCTGTTTTAACATGTTTACCAAAGTTACTTTCAGGCTAAAGCCTACCAATAATTTCTTTAGATTAGCATGATTAATCCTATAAAACATTTCAAAGCCTCATGTGAGCAAGTTACCCCACAAGTGCACCAATCTAGAGCTATTTAATTTTGAGATTGTGTGTGGATTAGGAATGTACTGTCTGGACTTGAATGCCTTAAGCAGGTTTGCCTTAAAATTACCACCTGAATAGGCGTGTTTGTAGTCCACCCATTCCTAGGCTACTGCATTAGAATGGAAATATGTCTGTATGAGGTGAAAATATGAGCTAATCATGGGGTGATTAGAGAGACCACAGATCTGTTTATGGGAAAAGAGGTGTGAAAGGGTGGGATGGGGAGGTGTGGCAGTGGCAGGATTTGCCCTTTGCACTTGTTTACCAATTCAGCAAATCATTATACACAATCATTTAGAAATTTAGAAACAAGTAAGGTTTCCATATTCCAGCAATGTTTACATATTCCAGATGTGTATATCATTGTGGCGTTTGAGTTGAACTTCAATGGCATTTATTTAGGATTTTATTTATTTGCTCTTTTCATTTTGTTTTTTATAAGCATAATTTGTTTAAATGATGAGACATTGTTGTCAGATTGTATTTATGTTCTGTTTATTTATTTATATATGTTGTGTTTGTTTTTATTTAGGTTTTTTTAAACGTTTTTTTTGTGGGGGTTAGAAAATGATTGGAGTTTAAATTGTGATATATTTGATCATATTGAGTCAAATGATTTATTTATTTATTTATTTGTTGTAGTTATTTCTAGTATTGTATTTATTTGTTTTTGTTTTATTTCTTTTATTATCTATCTATCTATCTATCTATCTATCTATCTATCTATCTATCTATCTATCTATCTATCTATCTATCTATCTATCTATCTATCTATCTATCTATTTTGTGGGTTTGTTGTATTCATTTATGCAGTCTTCCTCATTGACTTGCAGTTGGTAGGCTACTGTTTATATTGTTTTCAGATTTTTTTTTTCAACTTGTTTTTCTCTTGGCTAGTGCAGTTTTCTCAGTGATGATAATCATTTGCCATCTGTCGATTGCAGCTTTCTTACGGAAATTCAAATGCAAATAGCCCATCAGCGCTTCATTCATCATCTCTAGCAATCTTACACCGCCTAAACATGAACCACTTCAAAACAAACAGAAGCAAAATATGAACAACTTTTAGAGACTTTGTTGCTTGAATGACACACAAACAACAGTTTCATTATCACGTGGTTCATCCACAGTTTATATCTATCTGTGCCATAGACTGTAAAAAATAGGTCTGTGCACAGTGAATTTCGACCTCCTTTACCACAGCAGGCGCTGTTGTTATATTCCCGTCAAATGTATGTCTGAATGGTCTGAATCACATGGTTTTCAGGGCTGTGGTCCCTTTAACGTCCAACTCATGCGGCGTTTTCTCCTTCTGCCCAGCGTGGTAACTTTGGGAACTCCGCACATAAGCGCTCGTTCAATTGAATATCATTTCCACATGACAGTTTATTTATGTGATACTAACATAGTTATTTAATATTCTTTGACAGAGTGTTATCTGGGCCAAATATCGTGTGAAAACTGTCATATTGTCAACTGCATGTCATCTGATTTGGTCTGGTGGTGGCTGTAGATTATTTGGTAATTTTGAATAAAATAACGGTTGAACATGATGTCAGAAGAGCTCGAGCGCGTCCTGGTGCGGCTGACAGAACCGGACAACGCTGTTATTCAGCAGGTAGATACTTATATGAAACTGTCATACTGTCCCAAAATAGGCGTTATGCTATATTTGATTGATTTAATATTGATTATATTAGTTAATGGTCATTTTCAGTGCTATATGGGGTTTAGGGACTGTTATACATGGTCTTTTTAAGCCCGTGATGATGTTTAAGCAGTCATTTTCTTTATCAGGCCACTGCTGAGTTGAAACAGGCATTTAAAGATCCAGCTATCATTCCTGCTTTGTGTGCTGTCATGACTGGATCTCAAAACCCACAGGCAAGTTACTGTTATTCATTATGTCAAGATTTCATAGTCCTATACTCAAAGACTTGCTTTAATGCTGTCATTCTTGCTTCAGGTCCGCCAGTCGGCTGCAGTGATGCTCAGGATGAGAGTTAGAAAGCATTGGAAGAAAATCAGTCCAGACCACCGAGAAAGGTTTTGGATATGTTTTTCACTTATATAATTTCGTCTATTTTGATAGAGATTTGCTAATTTGTGATTCAAATGTTTTCATCCTGCTCCCCCAGTCTGAAGGCAGTGGTGCTGCAGGCTTTACAGCAAGAAACAGAGTAAGTCTGGTGGTGCCATGGTACATGATAATGTAATAATGTAAACTAAGATAGTCTATGATAACTACGTTAACGCTGTACTATGTATGTCTATTATGGTATTAACTTAGTCAGCTTTAAGGAACAGATATAGTTTAATAAACAAGCTATATCTGTTTAATAAATAAAGATGTTTAATAAAGGGTGTGTATATTTTTCATGCAGGTGTTAATTTTTCTTTTAATATTTCCATTCCTCAGACACACAGTTCGTCACTCTCTCTCTCAGCTGAGCGCTGTCCTGGTGAAACACGAGACCCCAGACCGCTGGCCCGCTCTCCTCACTCTATTAAACCAGTCTACTAAAAGCAATAACCCACAGGATAGACAGGTAACCCCATTTAACTTGTTAAAAAAGTACTGTGGCACTACCATGGTACATTTATGATATTATAACTTTTATCAAATTCTTATACTATGGTTTTTCATTGTATTATTTGACATACAGTGTTCAAAAACTTTAGGAAATTCTCAACTGAATATACTCTAATAATATTTACGAATGATTTATTTATTTATATAATTATTTGAATTGTATAACAAATCATGTTTTTATTAAGATCGGAAAAGATATACATTTGCTTTATATATATATATATATATATATATATATATATATATAATATTATTATTAAAATAAACTTGTTAGTATTATATTACAGTTTTTTATTCGCTTTGGTACTATTTTCACAAGTAAGGTGTACATTTTCAAAACTCTTAGTGCTAATATCACAACAGATCATCAAAAGTGCACTTTTTTCAAACATTTCATCATGTTTTCAACTGTGTTAGTACAATTCACACAATCACAAAGTATCCTTTTCACAACACAAAATAAGTGTTTCATCTACATTATTGGTTCATTCACAGTAACTGCCTTTCATAAAGCTCTTACTATCAAACTTTTTATTTGCATCTCTTTTTGTTCAGTTTAATACTTTTGTCTATTATTTAATCCAACAGATCTTAATGGTTAATCAATAAATCATTTGGTAAACCTATAGATTTTAATTTCAGCAATATACAGATTTTGAGAACTACAGAAATAAAATGTGTGTTTGTATGAATATTTAAGTAAATTACATGTAACCACACATGATGAATACTCGTTATAGCTAATTGATTTCACATAGTGGTAACCACAATTGGCCACTATATACTGTAAATGATTGTATAGAATGTCTTCATTGATCCTTCACTTGATTACATATATGATGGATATTTGGAAATTATAGATTATGTAAATGTTGGGTACTGTAAGTGTATTGCCTAATGTTACAGTAAAACTGTGTAATCTGTCTTTTATAGTACTGTAACATATTCATTTCAGCACTCCTAAGGCCGATTTGAAACATGTATCTTGCATTGTTTGCTGTTGGATGAACTGATTGTTAAAAGTACTAAACTGAAAGAAAATCATATTGTTGTGTTTCAGTGATGAAACCAAATGTTCTCATTACACATTACAATAATCTTGTGTTTGAAATAATGATTATGTGGACTGAAAACATGTGCAACTGACTGAAAGCATTACATCAGGTTTTGAAAGAATGACTAGCTGCGTTACAAGTGTGATCAGTTTGGATTTTTGTACTAAGAGTTTTGAAAATATACACCTTGTGAAAATAGTACCAAAGCGAATAAAAAAACTGTAATCATTTTGTTTTAAAGTATTTCAGCTTATGATGGAGATTAATTGGATTGGTGTGAAAGGGATAGTTCACCAAAAAATCATTTTCTCATAATTTACTTACTATAAAGTTTTTTTTAAACTGAAAAATTTGCTTTAAAATTTGCTTGATTCTCTGTACATTTGAGTTAGTTGGAATTGGTGTACCATTTTTGTCATACAAAACATCCCCCCAAATTTTTTGTTCTGTTCAGGTGGGTCTTTTATTGCTCAGTAAGGTGGTGGGATCAAACCCTGAGCCCTTTAAACCCCACTACAAGGAACTTCTCCAGCTGCTTGGGACTGTTCTCCAAGACCTGGACAATCCTACAGCTCTCTACTATTGCATTCTCACCCTTACCTCCATCACAACCTACACCGGCACAGAGGAGATGGTCTGTTCTGCTTCCTCTGACTGCTCTAATTTGCCCTTGGATTTAAGAATTATTGTTTAATACTACATTCAGCATGTTCAAAATGTTGTTTTTCTCTTTCAGAACCTGGTGCGATCTCTGATCCCCAAACTGCTCATTGCTCTTAAACGCCTCATTCAGGCAGACCAGGTGAGGATACTTTGATAACACTCTTGCTGTGTTCGTATGGTAATACTCCAATCATGGTTTCCATTATGTTACTCAATGATGTGCTAAACACTGTGTGAGTTGCGTCACTTGATTGATCAGTTTGCGTTTATGAGCCTTTAAGTGGCCCAATGGCTTTGACCATCCCTCAATCTTTCATTTTTATCTCACAAGTTTGTTTTTTGTTCTTTTAAGGACCAGGCCAGCGAGGCAATGGAAGTTTTAGATGAGCTGATGGAAAGCGAGGTTTCCATCATTGTCCCACACATTGCTGAAATTGTCCGTTTTTGCCTTGAGGTTTGTCCACACTTCTTCAAAGTTGAAGATTGTGTTGATTTGGAGCCATTGAGCAATAAAGTTTATGTTCTCTCTTCTAGATCAGTGCAGATGTCTCCCTTAGTGATTCTCTGCGTGTAAAAGCCCTGTCATGTATCGCTGTTCTCATCAGACTTAAAAACAAGGTAACTCTCACTTCTTGCCTTTGCTTTTCCTACTAAGGGCCCAGGTTATACTTAATTTAATTCTAATTTAACGTTCCGCTCTGTCTCAAACACAGTCGTGTCCACACAGCTTTCAAAAGTATACTCGAGCACGAATGGATGAGTGATTTAAATTATTACTTATAATAATCACTTCTGATTTTTTTATCTGTTCTCTAGGCTGTATTAAAGCATAAACTCTTGCAGCCAATCCTGCAAGTAGTGTTTCCAATCTTGAGTGCAGCTCCTCCTCCTGGAGAAGAGGACCCAGAGGATGAGGAAAATGATACTGAGGGCGACAGTGAGAATCCCAAACACTTTGCTGTTCAGGTGGGTCTCTTCACATGCTTTATCTCTTGCTTTATCTCTTGTACTCTCTATTTTCACATTGTCATTAAGCCATGACTCAAATTTTTAGGAATTTGAGACCTGGTTTCACAGAAAGGGTTTAAATTAAGCCACGATTTGGCCTTAGTTCATTTCAGTTAAGACAGCTCAAACATGTCTCTGTCAAACAATACTCTGACTAGGCTTAAGCTTTGTCTGTCAAACCAGGCATAAATCAAGTATTATCAAAAATGGTTGATACACACAAGTACAGTCTGACTTTAGAATATTATTAACACTGATGAATAAACAGTATAAGTTAAGGCTATTAAATGGCAGTCCTAAACTAGGTTTTGTTAATAAAGTATAGTTAGTACGTTTTCACCTCTGAATCTGATATTCACCACCTCAGAAAAGTCAGACAGAAAAGTCGGAAAAGTCAAAGCTTTCAAAATAAAAGTCTTACATCAGTAAAACATTAGAATTACTTTTTTTCTGTTGTTGTCTGTTTTACGACACACTCCGCGACCCACAGGTTCAGAAACACTGCCCTATACTGTATCTATGTCACTCTCTCGCATGTGTTTTATGACTATCTTACATTTGTGTTCCCTTGAAGGTCATTGACACAATGGCTCTTCACATGCCACCAGAAAAACTCTTCAACCAGCTGGTTAGTAAAAAAAAACACTTATTGATTGGCCATAATAAAAAAAGTAGACTTATACCTTCCAGTTATTCTATTAAAATGTATTTGTGATTTTGTATCCTGCAGATGCCTTTCACTCAGGCTTGCTTGTCAAGTGAGAACCCGTATGAGCGTAAGGGGGGTCTCATGTGTATGGCAGTGCTGGCCGAGGGCTGTGCAGATCACATCCGTACCAAGTAAGCTGTACTTTACAATTATACATAGATTTCTACCCAAATTCATTGCACATAATTTCCAAATGCACAAAAAGCAGTCTGCTTAATGTTTTTTTTTCTTTATGTGTTAGGATGTTGTCATCCATGCTTCAAACTGTGTGTAGCAGTCTATCAGACAATAACCAGGTGGTCCGCAGTGCAGCGCTCTTTGCCCTTGGCCAGTTTTCTGAACATTTGCAGGTCAGACTGAAACGTCAAGACATTTTTTTATTAATAAGTCTTTTATGCTATGCCTCTTATGCTTATTCATTAGCTTGGTTTGAGTTTAAAGAGTTAATTTGACTTTCACAGCCAGATGTCAGTAAATTCCATGCTGAACTGATGCCGTTGTTGCATGGATACTTATCGGCGGTGAATCAGACCAAAATCGGACACATGACGAAGGCCTTCTATGCCTTAGAAAACTTCTTAGAGAACTTAGGTTAGAATGCAGACACCATTAAATATGTACCTTTCAAGATTTTTTTTAAAATTTTATAATTATAAATGCTTTATCAATATAATATACTTTATCTATTTGTTTGATTTAATATTTTATTATGTCATCTTATTTCTCTCTTATTCCTTTTCTTTCTTCTCATCATCAGGTCAAGAAATTGAGCCCTATCTGCCCACTCTAATGGAAACCATGTTGTCAGCCCTTAACAATGCAGAAAACTTTAAACTGAAAGAGCTAGCTGTCAGTGCAATCGGAGCAATTGGTAACTTCATCCTTCCATTTACATGCCATTTTATGCTGTTATAGTAATCCCCAGACTTATGAGATCTCTTGCTTTCTCAGCTAATGCAGCCAAGGAGATGCTATTGCCTTACTTTACTCCAATTATTGAGAGTCTGAAGGGATTCCTGACGGACACAAGAGAGGAGATGAGGGCTCTGCAGACACAGGCACTAGGTAAAAACAGTGATCTAACATCTTCCATAGTTCGTAAGCATCATGTATAAGGAGGCACACAGCCTAACCTAATCTGTCATCACTCCTTTTTCTCTGTATATCTTTCATAGACACACTTTCCGTGTTGGCCCGCACTGTTGGTAAGGATGCGTTTAGTCCATTGGCAGCGGAGTGTGTGCAGTTAGGTCTGAACCTCACAGACGCAGTGGATGATCCAGACCTGCGCCGTTGCACGTATGACGTCTGAAATCCTCTGTCTGCTCTGGAAATTGTGTATTTATATACGTAGATGCTATAAAGGGAAGATTCATAGGAAAAGTAATGGGAGTCCCAACATTTCAATTTGGCAGTTTTAATGGAAGTTCCACATTTCATTAAAAAAAAAAAGTTTTTTTTTGAAAGGGGTGTCACCAGTTTGTTTACTCTAGTATGCATATGTATGTTTGGACCAACTTGAAAATAAATATATAAACAAATACCTTTAACAAAAAAAAGTTATATATATATATATATATATATATATATATATATATATATATATATATATGTATATGTTTTATTTTTTTAAAGCAATCATTGAATTTAAATTGATACTATTGTTGTCAGTTTTTGGAAGATTGAGGCTGAATTTTAAGCAGATTGCATTCATTCTCTCCAGGTATAGCTTATTCTCTGCTGTATCTGAAGTAAGTCCTGACTGTCTAACTCCTCATCTAACTTCCATCACCACGGTGATGCTGCTGTCACTCAGGTCCACAGAGGGTGTGACGGTCAGTGTTGGACTCTTCTCTCAGATCATCTTCTGTACACCGTCAAAAATTATAAGGATTATAATATTCCTATCCACTTCACAGACTCATTTGGAGGAAGACAAACAGTTTGTGCTCCTGGACGATGATGACGATGATGATGAAGAGGGTGATGCCATTTTAGATGAAGAGGAAGAAGAAACTGAGGTTGATGACAGTGATGTTGCAGGGTATATCTCCGTCTCTCATTCTTTCTCTTTATTGGTCTCTTATGTAAGAGCATTAATCAGGATTCCCTCTGTTCTCTCAGATTCAGTGTGGAAAATGCTTACATAGATGAGAAAGAAGATGCTTGTGATTCTTTGGGTGAAATCGCCTTCAACACAGGGTAAAGAGGCTTGTTTTACATAATGCACACAAACTGTCATGCATTTGCAAACTAGAGGCTTATATTAGGTGCATATGCATTCATTCAAAAGTCTGGGGCTATTAAGATTTTGTTTTTGGAACAAATTAATACTTTTATTTCGCAAGGATGCATAAAATTGATCAAAAAAGGTTTCTGTGTTCTAAATGACACATAGGTTTACTAAAATGGCCACTGAATGTTTGCAGGGTATGTTATGCTCAATTTCTCATGGCTCTGGCATTCACAACAAACTACACTTCCACAGTAGCATATTTCTGAGCAGGATATAATGTTGGGCTGGACGAAAGTAGTTCTTGACACAAATCCCCCTCAAATTTGTGGCTTTGGCCATGTCAGCAGAAAAGACAGACATTTATCAGTTATTAGACAGTTAACTGGCTAATACGTGGAGTATACTAAATGTTTAGTTTTGGTACAAAACACAGTTCTTAGAATCCATCTTATTTTTGTGTCTCTCAGAGTGGCGTTCCAGCCCTTCCTGGAGTCCAGTTTCCAGCAGGTCTTTGAGCTCTGTGATGTGAGTGACTGGTGCCATGTTTGTGGTTTCATGAGTGCTTGCACATAATGCTGAGTTACTGATGTTTGTGCTCTTTTGTGCTTGTGCATCCATTAGTTCCCACATGAGGATGTGAGGAGAGCTGCCTTTGGTGCCATGGGCCAGTTCTGCCGAGCTCAGCACAAAGTTTGGAAGGAAAACCCAACGGAGGCTAACCACCAGGGTACATTAAAACTGACTGTACACAATAGGTCTGGGCAGTATGGCCACATTTAGTGAGCAGTGTGTCAGCAGGTAGATTATTCTGTGCTCTTTATGCTTCAGAATATCTTTGATGCTAAAACTGTAGTCTAACTGCTTAAGTATTGACAACTTGGTTGATTATAACCAAAGCTAGAAATGTAAATTTTCATGAATTTTCATAATCAATTTAATTTAAGAATTAACAAATCATTAATGACACATAATATTTTATTCTGTAAGTATCATGTTCTTTTAATCATAACCGAAAGTTATACACTACAAAAGTTTTGTGAAAGATATTAATATTTTTATTCACTAAGGAAGCATTAAATTTGGCAGTAAAGAGATGTTTAATGTTACAAAATTTCTATTTCAAATATATTCTGTTCTTTTCAACGTTCTATTAATAAAATAATCATGAGAAAATAATGCATCACTGTTTCCACAAAAATATTAAGCAGTACGACTTATTTGACAATAATAAAATATATATTTTTTTGAGCAACAAATCAGAAATATTAGAATAATATATATTAGAATAAGTATAATTTCTGAAGGATGTGACTGAAGACTGGGGTATTGGTTGCCGAAAATGCAGCTTTGCCATCCCAGCAATAAATGACATTTGTATTTATATATATATATATATATATATATATATATATTGTATATAAAACAGTGATATTGCTAAACATTATTAAAATTTTAAATCACTGTGTTTAATGTATATTTGATTAAATTAATGCAGCCTAGGAGGTTTTAAAAAATAGAATGAAGTAATATAATACTTGAGTTAAATAAATGGATTTACTAGATTATGTCCGTAACCATATATAATAGTAATGCACATTTTTATGAATGAAACATTTTCGAGTTGAATTTCCAGAAAAAAAAATCACTTTATGTATACTGTTACCATTAGAAAATTTAGCTCAAACCTCCCACCTCTGGTACTCACATCTACATGTCTCTGATTTTTCATTTGCACTCTCCTTATATTCGCTTGCACTCTCCTTTACATTCACATCACGCTCTCTCTCTGCTTCCTTTCATCTGTTCTGTGTCTGTCTAATGATGTCTCTCAAAGAATTAGGATCGCCACTTGTCAAGAGGATTAACTTTTAACTCGGACTGTATTGCTGTGGAGTGCCTCAAGGCCCCTATCATTCATTCACTTCTTATCGTTTCCTTCCCACCCACTTCTTCATTGAATTAGCTGCAGTAAATGTGAAGGTGAAAGAACATGCAGTTTTCAATTACCCTGAATCCTTTGATCAACTCTTGCACATCTCTCTTTATATCTCTCCAGCTCTGCATAAGCTGTTGCAGGTGGTGTTGCCTTGTTTTCTGGAGGCGGTGAGACAAGACAGAGAGAGACAGGTGGTGATGGCTGTACTGGAGTCCATGAATGCTGTGATTAAATCCTGCCAGGGGGAGGCACTGCAGGCTCCAGGGATACTGACTGAAATAAGTAACGCCATCAAAGACGTACTGAAGAAAAAGGTCAGAATTTAATTTTAAGACCTCTTTGGGTATCAAGCCCTGAAATTAATGCAGTCATCTGACCAGATATAATGTGATAAAATTCTGTCCCTGTACAAACACTTCAGCTTTTACATCAGGATTTGCCCTTTTGGCAAAGAACATACAAACTGTTTTCTCGACATTAAGATGTAAACGTGATTTAGCAAGTAATTGTGACGTTGGGATGATTCCTTATGTAGCCTAACTTTTTTTGTGTTTTCAGCTTCAGAATCATGAAAATTGTTATTCTGGTGTCTCTATTGTCCCGTTTTTTTGGGTTTCCAGCACCAAGTCCAAGACTTTTCATTTGCACATACAATGTAATATCAAATTTAGCATTTTAATCTTTGACCTTTTACCATATGTCTTGGAGTATCACAAAAATATCGTATTGTCAGTTGATTTGTATCGAATCGTGACATGAGGGTATTGTTACACCCCTAATTAATTCTGTTATGAGTGACTGTTTAGACTGAGGTCGCATTACAATACATCTGACCTGTATCAGATTTAGTGCCACAAATCAGAATTGAAAGATCAGATTCCATGAGGATTGTGCTGTTCAAATTGTCACGACAAAAACAGATCTGGGTTGCATGCGAGCAAAAAAATCGGATTTGGGCCACATTTACCTGTTGTCTGAACATAGCCTTTGAAAAAGAATGTGTACAAGGCAGTAGAAAAACTGTGTATAATTATCCTCTGAAAATCCTTTTTAAGCTAAGAAAAAGGCTTATACTGTCAAAAAAAATTGTTTCAAATAATTAAATGAATTATAGCACTGACAGAAACTGGCTTCAAACAGCAGCTTATTCTCATTTCTTCAAGGTGTTACATAAGCCGGCAGTCATAAGGGGGTGGCTGGCTATTTCTTATGCTTGTGATCTCATTTTCTCTTTCTGTCTCGCTCAGACCGTGTGTCAGGATGTAGGTGGGGATGAAGCAGATGATGATGAGCAGCAGGTGTTTTGAGTATTTTAGTTTTTATAATTTAGTCACAGTTCACTGTCAGCACTGATACAATTAACCTAAAAGGACTGTGACGGAGTGGAATAATTGAGTGTTTGTGTCTCAGGCGGAGTATGATGCCATGCTGCAGGAGTTTGCCGGTGAAGGGATTCCTGTTTTAGCCTCGGCTGTACCAGCTGAGACGTTCTACCCTCACCTTAATGACCTGCTGCCTCTCATCATGAGCAAAGCTGTGAGTCTCGAATTCTCTCATTCTGCATTCACACAGATGAAGGTCTTACTTCAAGAGCATCTTCAATCGACAGTCTCTCAGACGGAGCGTGATGTGACTTGAATTTGAGAATGAATTAAATGTTTTTAATTTATAACGTTTAAACATTTAGACATAAAACAACTTCAAATTAACATTGTACACACATATATATATATATATATATGTAAGTGTGTGTGTGTGTGTGTGTGTGTGTGTGTATATATATATATATATATATATATATATTTCTTTTAGTAGTAGTAAAATATCCATCATGAATTAAAGTCTCCTTTACTCTTTCTTAAATGGCATTTCATTTTAATTGATATTTTATAATAAACAAAACTACAAAAATATGTGAAATAAATATTTCCGTTCAATACTTTAGGGTCTTTTATGGTCACCAAAGCTGCATTTATTTGATAAAAAAAATATAGTAATATTGTGAAATATTTTTAGTCACCCTGTAGTCAATAATTGTATCCCTTAAAACTCACATTTGATCACCAAAATGACCTGTTTAAATGTTTTTTCTTTGGAAAAAAAATCTTCATGCCTTAAATTAGCTTAAATGTTACTACAATCTTGTTTAATTAATTTTACGAGGTTCTATGAATATGCAAATTAGCCCTGCCTCCATTCACTCACACCAGCTCAGAGATCCACTAGTTGACAATCACTCATTGTCGTGATTAAGGTAGTTTTTTTCCTACAGCAGTAACGCCAGTGATTTCAAACCACGTTTTGAATGTCTTTGGTTCACTGCGGTTTGAAGGAGAAAATTACTCCCCAATGGCGTTGACTTATGAATTTTCACATGGTTTGTCTTAAAGCATATTAAATACACCACATAGACATATAAACAACATTTAAAAGCTTGATTTTCACCATAGGGGGCCATTTTCTTTAAATATAATATATTCCTGTGGTTGAAAAGCTTTTCAGCAGTTATTACCAGTCTTCAGTGCCACGTGATCCTTCAGAAATCATTCTAGTTGGCTAATTTGCTGCTTAAGAAACATTTCTTATTATTATCAGTGCTAAAACAATTGTGCTGCTTAATATTTTTGTGGAAACTGCAATATCTTTTTCATTGGTTCTTTTCTTAATAGAAAGTTCAAAAGAACAGAATTTATTTTATTAATCTAACGTTCTCAACTCATTGGTAGTTAAATAACAATAACTCAAGTTATTTCTTTAACAAAATTAAATTGTTTATTAAATTCTTAATTTAAATGCATCAATTTCTTGCGCATTTCTAGCATCACCCTTTTTACTTTGTGCTGTTTTTTTTTAAAATTTATTTAATAGAAATCCTCATGCTCGGAGGCAGACCGCTCCTTCTCTGTTGGAACGATTGGAGAAACCCTGCACTCATTGGTGGGTGTGGATGGAGGCAGGGCAGTTGCTGGCCGGCTGTCCAATCGGCTGCTGCCGTTGCTTGTGGCTGGAGTGAGGGACAGTGATGCAGAAGTGCGCAATAACAGTGTGTATGCACTGGGAGCTCTCGCACAAGCCGCCGGACCCATCGTTGCCTCGTATCCTTCATAGATCCCTTTGTGCATGTGTACCTGTTCTCAGATCTCAATGGCTCTGTTAACCTTAACCCCGGTGCTTCAGTGATTACCCCGTGATGCTCTCCCTGTTCTCCAACCTACTCTCTAAAGAGTCTGACCTGAGAGTCATTGACAACCTGTGTGCTGCCCTGTGCCGGATGATCATGAGCCACGTGGAGGGGGTCCCACTCGAGCAGGTCACTTCTGTCTTCATTTTAGTATCTATATTATTAAATGGATATTCACACAAAATGGGCAATTCACTTACTCCATATACTTCATCTTCGAAACACAAATGAAGATAAGAGGAAGCTCAAGCAAGTTCTCTACCAATCAGGTTCATTCTCATGTGTTATGTAGAACCATAATGCAACTCACAGGATAGATACTTACACGGCGTTTTCATTACTGAATGATTCCGTGTTTTAAAGGAATTGGTTGAGCGAAAGATTCAATGACCATTTATAAACAATGCCTCATTCCTGAACGAATCAGCCGTTTGAACGAGTCGTTTGAATCAATTATTAACCTGCTGCCACCTACTGGTGGTTTAGTTATTATCCTATATAATATTTAAAACAATCTCATAACATTATTTAATGCAGTTTTGACTGCATTTCACTGGTATTTACAATTTGACTGGTATCAGCTATATAGTGTCTCAAATTTATCGAATTTAAAATGAAAGATAAAGCATAAATTTAAAACTATTAGAGAAAAATGCCATTTATAAAGGTCAACATATCATAAATAGGCAGAGTTAAATATGTCGAAGCTGACTGAACACTGATGAGGATATTGCTTCAGAATAAATTATAATTACAACACACACACACAAAAAAATCCTATTTTTTCTGGACAAGCAATTGTTTTACTCGGACAAGTGAATGACCAATTTGAATGACCAGAGATTTGGGTGATGGAACAAAAATAAATAAGGTATAATACCCATTTTACCCTTTTCTCACAGGTTTTTCCTGCTCTGGTGGCTCGTCTCCCTCTGAAAGAGGACATGGAGGAGAACAAGACTATCTACAGCTGCCTGACCTTCCTCTACTCACATAACCCTGTGCTGGTAAACCCTCATTTTCACTCCCAGCATGCTCTGCTCACAGCTCCTTATTGAATCTTGTCCTGTCAATGGACTGATTGTGTTTTATTTCTCACTCCAGGTTGTTAGTCAGCTCAGGCCAATAATATCTGCTGCCGCTCATCTGTTGGGCATGAAGGATGTCGATAATGGTAAGAAAGTGTTTATACCATTGGAATATTTTAATTTTGTGTTATGAATGACATTGAGAATTGATCATTTTTATTTTGACTCGTATTTATTCTTTTAGAAACACAAAACAGCCTGCTCATGCTGCTCCGTGGTCTAGCCCAGCATCACACTCAGGAATTTCAAAGTGCGGTAATGTCACTTCCTGATGAACAGAGAAACAAAATGACCATTGCGGTCACTCAATCATAACACCTGTCCCTGATTCAAAGTATGTATCCCCTTCCCTTCCAGAAGGCCTTCCACTCTTATGAAAGCCAGCCAAACTAATAATAGATTTTTTTTCTATTACATTAGAAATGGGCTTAGACAGTTAGCAGAACATGCACTCACTGGCGTACTCTGCTTTCTGTATTGCAGCAGAGACATTGAGACTATTTCCTCTTAATTTATTACAAAGGTCACTTATGCTTCTTGTCACTTTTATTTTGTTTTACTTAGAGTTGTTGTTTTTTTCCTTTCTTCGTTTATTATTTTTCTCTGTCTCAATGAATCTTCTGCTTTCCCATCTATATTGAATGTTCCATGAAATTCTGGCTTATTTGAGTGTGAAGTTTTGTATTGCCATTGCAGTGAAAGAAATATATTTCTATGAATTGTTCAAAGTTGTTTCTTTATTTTTGGTATGTATGTCCTGGGAATATGTTGAACTTGTTACCCAGAATTAGTAAGAAACCACCATGTTTCTGAAAAAGCATATTTTTATTATTATAGAAAAATGCAGCACAAGGTATGTTGCAGAATTATATTATACCTCATTCTGGATCATTTTAACTCTATTGTATCAGTAATATAATTGTATGTATCAGCAAATTAAACCAACAGAAATACACTACCATTTACACTACAAAGTTTGGGTTTGGGAAGATTTTTAAAATGGGTTTAAAGGCTACATTTATTTGATGATAAATTGTAAAATATTATTAGAATTTAAAATAACTGTTTCTGTTTTAATAGATTTTAAATTAAATGTATTTGTCATTTACTTCAGTGTCATGATCCTTCAAAATTCATTCTAATATGCTGATTTGCTGATCAATAATCATTTATTATTATTAACGATGAAACGGTTGAACTGCTTAATATTTTTATAGAAACCATGATACATTTTTTTAAACGTTTAAAAGAATAGCATTTGTTAAAATCGAAATCTTTTGTTGTGTTATAAATGTATTTACTGTCACTTTTGATCAATTTAATTATTCTTTGCTGCTTAATATAGTATACATTTCTTTAAAAAAAGAATCTTCCTGATCCCAAACTTAATAAGTAGATGGATATAGATTTTATATAGGTATAAGTGTGTGTAGGTATAGCTGTCATTGATGAAATATATGCTGATTATTCTGAAATACGAGATTGAATTTTTTTTTTTTTTGTTGATCATTACCCACAAAACTTTAGTTATACAGCCACCTTGCAGCATAGCACATCAAATTTAGGCTCTTGCACAAGTTAAAACGTCCAGAACCTGAATTGGGAATGGTCATCTGTATCATGTAAGGTGTTAGATTGCTTTAGCCTAGCTGTCGAACGCCTTCCAATCACTCCACGCTTGGCAAGTCTTGTTTTTCTTCTGTCTTCTGCCATTTGGACTTGGACTGTGACACTGTGTCCGAGGCCAGAGTCATCTCCACCGGCTGGAGTTCATTTTCCGCTGGGAGGGGGGGAGACACAAGAATATTCACTGCCATGTTTATACAGTGGGTTATTTTTATGTTCATCAGACAAACTCTACACACAAACCCAGAAGATTGTGAGGTTGGGGAATAGGCATGTCGAGGGAGAAAGCGAATATCTATCGCTCTACATACACGCAGGAGAGTGTGCTGAGCGTGCGAATACTAAACACACTTACTCAGCAGCCACGAGCGTTATGTTAGCTCCCCTCACTGATCTGCAGATGTCATCTGTTAGCTAACCGTCAGGAATGAAGTGTTCTATTACTGCAAGCCTTGACACTGCAGCCTAATGGAAACCGACGGACTGAAAACATGCTGATGAAGTTCACTTCTGCTGGATTGTAGTAATACTAGTTGTAATTAAGTGGAGATGAAGCATTGTTGTGCAATAGAGGTCGGCAATAACAATATACAGTGAAATCTGTTTGGTCGCATATGTAACATGGCTCCTCGTTCTTGACTCCAGTGTTTATATTGATTTTTGGGTGTATGTTGCTGATTTCATATGCGCCGGAAGCCTATCACTTAAGGTTATTTCTTAGAAATATGTACTTAATGAAACTATTACCCACTTGCCTGAATAAATCAATCTGTGCAGCCAGATGCCTTTGGAAAACCCATCATCTTAATTAGATTTCAACTGAAACACTGCTGTAAAATACAGGAACCTTACTGAAGCCTATTTAGTACTTTATACTATTATAGTTTATATACTATAATTTGTATTAGCTTTTTTAATTTGTTGAAAAAAAAAAGACATTTTATTGATTCTTTCTTTTTTTGTATCTAACCTATTTTAGTTGATGATTTTCATGTTTTTTTCCCCCGAAGTTTTTTTTAATTTCATATTTTTGATTTATTTCAGCTTTATTTCAATTAAGAAAAATAATTTACAATTGTTTAATTTTAGGTAACTGTAACACCATTGCTTTACTGAATATTAAGTTCAATGAACTTTAGAAATGGATTCAAAACACGTTAAAGGAGTAGTTCACTTTTAAAAAAACTTTTGCTGATAATTTACTCACCTCCATGTCATCCAAGATGTCCATGTCTTTCTTTCTTCAGTCGAAAAGAAATTAAGGTTTTGGATGAAAACGTTCCAGGATTTTTCTCCATATAATGGACTTCAATGGGAACCAAACGGTTCAAGGTCCAAAAGACAGTTTCAATGCAAACTGCAAACTGTTCAAAGGGCTTTGAATGATTCCAGACGATGAATAAGGGTCTTATCTAGTGAAACGATCGCTCATTTTATAAGTTTTATAAGCTCAAATGGTCGCCTTGCTCTGTTCTGTAATGCGTGTCCGTGACTCTCCTGTTCGAACTTGTTTGTCAAAATGAACAAATCTTTTTTCGTGTCATTTGGTACATTCAACGAACGAAATGAACAAGTTGACTCGGGAAAAGATTTGTTCATTTTGATGAATGAGTTCAAACAGGAGAGTCACGAACGCGCATCACAGAACAGAGCAAGGCGACCATTTGAGCTTATAAAATTTAAAGTTTTTTTTTTTTAAATGAGCGATTGTTTTGCTTGATAAGACCCTTATTCATCGTCTGAAATCGTTTAAAGCCCTTTGAACAGTTTGCACTGAAACTGTCTTTTGGACCTCGAACCGTTTGGTTACAATTGAAGTCCATTATATGGAGAAAAATCCTGGAATGTTTTCATCAAAAACCTTAATTTCTTTTCGACTGAAGAAAGAATGACATGGACATCTTGGATGACATGGGGGTGAGTAAATTATCAGCAAAAGGTTTTTTTTAAAAAGTGAACTACTCCTTTAAACTGTTTTTTATTTTTTATTTATTTTTTTACTTTTTTAAAACCATGTGTTGTGGTCACTGATTTATATAATAACATTGTCATTATATAGATCAGTGGTTGTGGTGCGTGTAGTCCTACGTCACTGGACTAATTTGCCTAATCTTCACGGTAGACCACGGTGGAAACGCAGAAAGCAACAGGTCTGGGGGAATATTGTTCTGTGTAATTTCGGTGAAAACGCATCGTTTAAATTGTCCCCATTGTGCTAATGTAATGTTAACAAGTATAATGTTTTATCGTTACAGCATATTTATTCAGGTGCAATGTATATATCATTTCAGTTTTAGTTAGTTATTTTGGTACAAGTTAAACAATGCAAGTGAGAAGTGTTGTTTTAGCAGCTTGTTGAAATTAAGTTTTCTTTATGGTTTTAGGGGCTGTTTATGACACCATTTTCAACTAAAACTGAAAACTATGCATTTTGGCCCTTCATTTACACAACAACATCGTTTTGGGGGGCTGAAAATGCAAACTTTTGAAAACAAAGTGCATGTTTTTTTGAAAATGATTATTGAGCATTAACGTCTCCATGTAAACTACAAAAACGGTAGTTTGTGAAAGCGGTGACATCATATGCATGCATGTTACATGTTCAGTCTATAGGCGCGTAGCGTTTCTTTACAAAAAGACATCGCCAACTACTGGCCTGGCAACATAATACAGCGTTTTTAGACATTTTTGCGAATCCATTTGAATGGGGATAATTTTGACGTCATCTGTATGAGAAAATCGCACAGAAAAAAAAACGTTACCGCTTTCAATGTGCCTAAGGATTTTTAGCCCGATTTAATTCGCCAACAGGTCAGGGTATTATCGCGTGCAAATCGCGGGGGATTAGCGGGCGATGAACGCTTGCCAATCTTTTAGTATGAAAGAGCCAACAACACAGCGAAGACCCTCGCAGAAAAATATCTAGCATGCTAGATATCCAGAGCTGTTGCACGACTCAACCTCAGTGATGTCATGAGCTACAGCCAATCAGAGCAAGGCATGGGTTGAGGTCACTGGGTAAATCTTATTTTTTCTTTTTTTTACATTTTTTTTTCTCAAAGTAAATCATCACGCAAACAGTGTGCAGCACTAGTTGTCTGGCTGACGTCCATATTGGTGTTGTGTTCTCCGCTGGGTATTAGCGCACGTGCTGTTTCGCGTCATTTCTGGTTCGTTTTATTGCGTGATTTTTCGTGACAAAACGTGGTTTGTAGAAAAGATAGAATCGTTGGGTGACAGAGTTGTTGTCAACTTATTATTTTCAGGATTTAGACCGTACCATAGTACTGAAACAGCTCTCATTAGAGTCGCAAATGATTTGCTGGTTTTATCTCTATGTAGTGCGTTGTTCACTCGTGTAGTGCGTTACCTCCTGTTGCGGATCAATCACGTTGTGTTGTGTGGTGTGAACAGCTAAACAACTTGAACACTCCTGATTTCACTGATGTAGTGTGAAACGCACAGTTCAGCCCGACGTTTTAAAGTCATGTAGTGTGAACAAGGCTTTAGCTTTAGTTAATTATAATTACCCTGCCTGCGATATATTAACTCGATCTTCCCCTTTGATCCAGCAAAAGTGTTGATAATTGAAATGATAATTGCCAGTTGAAACTGGTTTAGCTCCTCCATGTCTCACCTGGTTGTGTGTGTCTCCACGGAAGGATGTCCACCCCGCTTCTGCAGAAGGATCGGTCGGTGTGGGACTCGGTGCTGTAGAGAATCTCCTGACTCTGACGTTCTCCGGGATGCTGCGCTTTCACACGAACCTCCAGAACGGTCATTTCCTTCTCCTTCTTCAGCTTCCCTGACTTCCCCTTCACCCGTGTGCGCTTAGTGTCCACCCACACCACGCGCTCCTTCACCGCTGATCTGGGTACACATGGAGAAAGCAAGATATTAACAGAATATTTCACCCAAAATTCAATAGATACAACTGCATCTGTAAATTTAAACTCACTCTTCAATGCCCAGGTCAGCAAGTGTTGTGTTCAGGAATGGAAAAGCCTGGTCAGGGTTCAGAACTTCAATGGGCAGGTGCACACACATGGGGACCGTCCAGTCCAGCTCGGCTCGCACCGGTTTGTCATTGGCGGGAGAGTCTAAGGGGCCGTCACCATTCACCTGCTTCTCCTGGTGCTGGACCCCAGGCTGAACCTCTGGATTTTTTTCTTGGCCTGCCAGCTTGACACTGGTGTCTTTAACCGGCAGCTGTTGCTCCTCTTTGTTTTCTTTCCTTTCGTCTATGATGATCATTGAGTTGATTCCTTTGAGATCCAATATAACCTGATGTAGACGAGTCTTCCCAGGTGCTTCTCTCTCTGCCGTTGGGTTGCGAATGCGTAATGCTCTGAGAACTCTGAAGTCCAGTGGAGATTTAAACGGTCTGTGTGAATGTGTGCAATGTGGCGCTGACGTGTGAGCTTTATTAGTCTGTCATAGGCTGACAAATTACAGTATGGAGAGTTGTTTATATTATTAAATCATCTTTCCCCTTCCCAATGCGTGATGTGCTTAAGTACTCTGTAAACAAACTAACTGGCATCTAACTAGCTCAGGTGGAGTGTGTAAAATGGGAGCTTTGGCTAAAACTGCACCTGCACATTTGAACAAAATCTAGGAATAAAGTGAAAATTAAAATAAATGAAAAGTGCCAATTTCGGGTGGCATTCAATTGAAAACTTGTAACGAATCACACACGACTCTGTTTGAATGCAATGGCCAATCAGAGGCGCTGATTAGTAGCTGCTGGAACACTGCGTTTATTCAGTGCACGCAAGCTTAATTCTGACTGAATTCTACACTCTCGCAAATACTATCGTCATAAACTGAAACAGATTTGGTGATTGTGCCAGTATAAATAGAAGGGCTGTCAAACGATTAATCGTGATTAATCGCATCCAAAATAAAAGTTTGTGTTTACATAATATATGTGGGCGCACTGTGTATAATTATTTTGTATATATAAATACACACACATTCTTGTATATGTATATACTGTATATAGATCTATATATAATTGATATTATATACAAATATATATATATATTGTATATAAATAATAATTTTTTTCTTAAATATACATTCATGTGTGTGTGTATTTATATATATATATACAAAATAATTATACACAGTAAACCCACATATTTTATGTAAGCACAAACTTATTTTACTTATTTTGGATGTGATTAATCGCAATTAATCGTTTGACTGCCCTAATAAATAGGTTTCGATCAATGTATTTTAGCAGTGTAGCCAATTACAAACATATCTGATGATTTCTTGAACGCAATGGCCAATTAGACGTGTTTAAGTTAGAATACCCTCATCCTCTGCATTATATTTTGCACCAGATATTAAAAATTAACTAAATTAAATAGGATATGTTAGGAAGCTTGTTTAATGGGGTGGTGATGGTGCAGTGGATATGACGCATGTCTTTGGTGTGAGAGACCCGGGTTCAAATCAAATCCACTGTGAGCAGTGTTGGGAGTAACGTATTACAAAAGTAATACATTACAGTAACATATTACTTTTTGCTGTAACGCCGTAGTGTAAGGCATTACTAATCAATTTTCAGTAATATTTTACTCGTTACATGTTCAGTGAGGCTTGTATTACAGTTGTATTACAGTGTATTGTCTGCTTTTACTTCTTAAAGGCAACAGATATGTGAAAGTTTTAAAGCAGTCTTTTAGTGCCACTTCAGAGCGGTCGCGCCTGTAACATTGTTTTTTCCTCATAAATGCGAACACGAAAACTAAAATAAAATGAATATTTTAAGTTCTATGGAGACTGGAGAGCCAACCCTTCCTCATCCGATTTGCGCAGTGTAATTAACAGAATTACAAAAAATATATTTTGCCTCCTATTTTTTTGTCACGCATGAATGTGTGTCTTTTCCCTAATATTAAAAATAAAACAGACTGATATTTGTCTAATGTCTGGAGTCCTTTAAGGAAGTAGCCTATATACGTTTCAATACATGTATTTTCTGAGAATTTTTATTTCAAGTTTTGACTGCAAATGTCATGTCCATAATGCTGGACCCAATTTTAAATAATTTATCCTCAACTAGTTTTGTGGTGTAGGTCTACGTATTTTATAATGTTAACTTCAAATAATACTAATAGCCTAATTTAAAGATAAGGCAGCATTGGATCTGGACGGAAAGGAGAATAACGCTGGAGTTGGAAGAGGTGTGTCGCGATTCTGTAGGTTCGTGGATCTGAGTCGTGTGGCGAATCGCGATTTCGGTTTCATATTGCATATCGTTACAGCCCCAAAGTTAAGTTCTACTTAGTTATTTTGGTGAAAGTAACTCAAAAGTAATACATAAGTAATGTAACGCATTATAATTCTGAGACAGTAATATTGTAAGGTAATGAATTACTTTTAAATAACAGTAACAAGTAATACCTAATGTATTACAGTTTGGAAGTAACTTGCACAACACTGACTGTGAGACACCAATGTGTCCCTGAGCAAGACACTTAAGCCCTAGTTGCTCCAGAGGCGTGCGACCTCTGACATATATAGCAATTGTTAGTCGCTTTGAATGAAAGTGTCAGCTAAATGAACAAAAATGTTAAATGTAATGGCACAGCAATTTATATTTCAATTTGTCAGTGTTTTACAGTTCTTTTAACAATTAACAGATACTAAATGCTGGAGAATCAATCTTTTAAGTTGATTTTTATGGGAGGTTATCTTGAATTGAAAAAGTAACATGACATAAGTGATCCTAAAACAACTCCATTCTAAGCATGCAGTGCATTTGTTTTTTCCTGTGACAGGTGATTACTAGAATTGAGCGATTTACTGTGTCCTTACAGCAAAGTGCCACATTTTAATGCCTTGAGAAAACATGTCACCTCATAACTCTGCATGTTCATGATCGTGTGGCACGCATCACAGTAATGCAGGATGTCCCTTTTTCCCCTTCAGTAATGGGCCTACAAGATGATCAGGATACTCAACATTCAAGTGTGCTGTGCTCATTAAGTGCTACAATAGTATATACTGCCCTAAATTAACAAGCTTGTCAATGAGAATTGTACACCCTTTTTACGTAAATTATGATTACGTTCTTACTTGTGATGTCATATTCTTAATGTCTATAGTCACTTGTTAATGTAAACATCTGATCAGGTTTTCAGATATGAAATACTTCCCCTCAGCCCTTTGAAATTCAGAGCATGTGTGCTATGGGGTGGGATAGCGGTTGCCCGAGGACAGTGTGAAGTCGTTGTTGACCGTTCATAGTTTTTCCGTGACTCTTCATCTGTATGCTAACTACTGCTTTACCATATATGTCTGGTCTGCGTACGTCAATCTTCGCATTTCATAATCAGCGCGGCAGAAAGGTTGGCATGGGTTTTGCTGTGCCCAGTGGGCTGCTGGTTTTCTGTCTGTCGTTGTTTCTGGCTGGTGTTACATTTGTGAGAACTGCTCCATGACTCTAGTTTAACAGTGTGAGGTCAGGCAGGCATGAGATCATGAACTGTATGAGATCACGGTCAACAAAGGGATTTCTGCTGGGAGGGTTAATGGATTCACTGGTCCTGCACTGCCCCCTGTGGACGAAGGGGTAATTGAATTTCACTTCCCCTACACTTTAAAGTCGTCATGTAATGGAAATTCAACCTATTTTGTAAATGCTTGCTATAAAACCATATGTATTTATTTATTTGTTTACCTAAGTTTTAATCTTCCAAAGCTTTCGCATTTAAATCTCCCTCCATCCCGTCAACAATCAAGTATGTTAAAATATTAAAGAAAAGGTCTTTTGCTTCAGTATGATGAAGTCGTTTAAATCACATGGGCTTTAAAACTAAGTACACTAAGTGCACACTAGGTAGGCACTAACATTATTGAATGAGAACTGAACTGAGCTGGATGATGACATCGTAGTTTTCTCCATAGCTACTTTAGATGAATTGAACCCATTCCATAATTGATGGACCTTAACCAAACTTGCTTTACAGCAGAATTGAATTCTGTTTACATCATTGAATCATTATATCCATGTAAAGCTGTTTTGAAACAATCTGTATTGGATAAAATGTATATTTGGTGACAGTTATTGAACCAAACTGAACCATAAGGTAGTTCAGTAAGGTGGTTCAACCATATTAATAGGTCTGTAAGAATAATTTGTATGTGACAGATGACTCCAAAAATTTAGAACAAAATTTAATACATTTTAAATTTAATTTTTTAACAGCATATATTCAAACAATAATTGTAGTCACTTTTATATATATATATATATATATATATATATATAAACGTATTATATTGAAATGAGCATTGAGACAAATTCTATTAAAAACCTTTGAACATATTTCTTCCATAACTTGAGAACAGCTAAAAACTTCCGAAGCCTATTACAAACCATTTCTTAAGTGATTAAAAGTTATAACAAGTTCATATATATACAGTATACAAATTAAAACATTAAACTTCATAAAGTTCAAAACATCATAAAAATTCATTAAAAAATATCTAAAAAGAACACTCTTTATCACTCTAAGACCATGAAACTGCCATGTGAGATTATTTACATTAAAATAATAATTACAGTAACCAATTATTCATAATCATCAAATATTATGTAAAAGTTTTTCTGTACTGTTCTTTGTTATGAATACAAAAACTAGCCTCTGAACTGGCTTAATATATTTCAGTTTGTTAAACCAATCTAACAGCTTCGACTTTCTTGAGAGCATGTATGTTTGCACATGGTGTGTGTGTTCAACTGTTCATGGTAATGGTGATGACTCCAAACGGTTCAGTCTGACGTGCACTTAACTTCAGACCACCGAGCACCTCTGTAGAACAAACAGATCACATGTCACACACATACATACTAAGAGACAGTAAAAAGCAAACAGGATGTCTCATGTCTTACCCAGTATTTTGTAGAACAGATGAGCTGTAGTGCTGCGCTCGGCCTCTGGAGGCAGCAGTGAGTGAAAGGAGACCTTCTTAAAGCGCTTGATTAAGCCAATGATCAGTCTGCATGACAGAGAGAACGACTGAAAAAAATCTGATCATACACACACACACACACAAAGACTTGTTCATCTACTAAGCGCCTCTTCAAACCTGAGCAGGTCATCGTTGGTGATGTCACTCATCTCGGGCTCCGTCTCTCCCGGTGGGAGTTCAACATGTTCCTCTAATATCACCTCCATAGACACAGGAGCCTCTTCTATAGGAGACCTACACACATGATGTTTATTTCACAGGACCGTTCTTTTTACAAT